GTCTGTTTCCTCTCCACCTATCCTCTCCTCTATCCATCTTCTATCCGTATCTGCCTCCCCCTCTCTCCCTATTTATTTCAGAACCCCCTTCCTCTCCCCCATTTCTGATCAAGGGTCTAGGCCCGAAACGTCAGCCTTTCTGCTCCTATGATGCTGCTTGGCCTGCTGTGTTTATCCAGCTCTGCACCTTGTTGTCTCGGATTCTCCAGCATCTGCAGTTCCTACTATCTCTGCACAGCCCAAGAGGTAGTTTAACAGACTCTGAGAAAATAACTTTTCCAGTGATCCAGAAGCAAAATCATGTTTGTATCATGAAGTAGGAAGACTAACGCAAATCATCATAAATCTAATTTGGAATATCTTTCTGTGAAAAAGTAAAAATATTATTTACCATGAAAATGTCTTCAACACTGGCAGTTAGTTGATGTATTACTTTAAATATCTCAAAGCATCTATGAAAGAAACAAAACCAAAAGATAAATGAGCAGTCATGGGTGCATGTACCCTAGGGGTTTATGTCATTGTCGAATTCTGTTTTGGCTTCATATCGACACTGAATTTGCATTGCAAAGTTAAAAATTGTCGTAGATCTGAATTAATGTCAGTTTATCCCAATTTTGCACCTTCATTAACACCACAAATGTTCACAAGTTTGAAGCAAGAGAGCTCCACACCATTGATGCAGTTGAAGATATGTTCATGCTTAGCCTCAACCTTGTTTGTAATTTTCTTTGTCATTTATCGAAATCCTAATACGCTCTGTACATTTTAAAGACACCTCTAAGCCTATTGAAGACACATTTAAATGTTGTACCAATTCATATACTTTACATGTAAAACACAATGGCACCATAAGACATGCTTTTATTTATAGAATCATTTAAGTGACAACTGATAAATTTGTATTTTAACATTTTATTTATTGGAATTAACAAGCGCTTCAACACGTTATCAATTTTGACTCATTCTTCTCTAGGTAAATTAGCTTAAACTGTTAAAATTTATTATGATCTTAAGCTCATTGTCATAGATACACACTCATCCATAGTCCTTTTTTGGCCTTTTCTGATTGCTGTCATGTTATGCTGAATGTTGAGATGTGGTTTCTGCAGTATTAGCTTCTCCATGGTAGTAATACTGATTGATGTGTTGAGATGAGCATGGAGCTCCTAAAGGTGATATACAGATCATTAGTACATGTTGTTTGCTGGATTTACAAATGACAAAACATCACGAATCCTGTTCTAACATAGTTGTTGACACTAAATATTATTTCATTAAATTTTCATTTGTTTAATCAATGTGAAAACACCATCCGTCAGGGTTTCTTGCTAATATTTAAAGTAACGGATATCCTCCACTTTGCTGTACTCTGTATGAAATTAAAGACTTAAGGAATTATGCTGAGCTTGGAAGCAGTTTCAAGGGCAAATTGCATCCCCTAAACATGGATTTTAAGGACTTTTCCAGTCTCGTTCCTCTGCCAGAATCAATACTCTAACTTCATTGGATTTTTTTTGTCAGTCTACAGTATCAATCTAATAAAAAAAAGACATATTTCAGATCTACTTAATTACACTTAATAATTTGTACTATCTGGTTTATGATTGTGATATTTTTATTTCCATAATTATTCCATATGTCTAGAGTAAAACTACAATGTGTAAATTGTCTGATTTAGAAGTGGGACTGTCAACATTATGTTATTGTTTCAGGCTTGATTTTCTTTAAATGTATTAAGTAATCAGTTGGAAACTTCAGCTATAAACAATTGTATTTGCTCCAGGTACCAGCATGGTTTTGTTTTTGTAAACAGACATGGAGCATTAGAATTTTAAACAGACAGTTGGGCATCTAAGCCTCATTACACTTTTTGTAGAAATCAGATTTGATTTTTGATTCCAGCTTGACTCTAAACTATTGGTTTACACATTACAGCTTCTGCTATGGGCTCTGTTTTTCTGCTTATCATCATCTGTTAGCCATCCAGAAAATTAAACACAATAAAATATCACTTCAGGGAAGCCTAAATCTTGACCCTAAATTAAGACCATGAAGACCATAAGATAAAGGAGCAGAAATTAGGCCATTCGGCCCATCAAATCTGCTCTGCCATTCAATCATAGGTAAACATTCCGTTGCAATACAACAGTGACCCGCCCTGAGAAATACGTAAAGACAGGGATGATGAAGATCACTACAGCCAAATCAATTCTATACCATAGTTTGGGAGGGTTGGAAATTCTGCAAAAGTGCACTGCTTGAGGATACAAATGAAGTGTAATTTGGAATAGTATGCATAAAGGCCAAACAGTTAACTAAACTTTAAAGGAAACTATGGCTAATTGCTGAAAAACTTCTGCCAATGAACTAATCTGAGCTGCAGTTGTGAGGATAAGTCTGGGGTCAAAATCATGCATTATGCAACTGGCTAATGTTTTCAGTTTTATGCAACACTTACAACTTTAGGCAAAGCCTGATGAAAGTTCATCGTTGTTTCTGTAGTCATTTCAGGAATGATGCTGTAAAGAGCGCTCTGGTCAGTTTAAAATATTCTTTTGTGGCCACTTCCACTCGTTTCAAGATTGCAGTACCGATATTGCAGGAACCGATGGCTGTTTAGTCAGATCTAGGAAACAACCTTGCAGATGAAGGCAAACATAGCTGTCCGTGGTCTTCTTACTATTGCTCATACTTTGTATTTTGTGCTGGATTAAGTTTTACCACAGACTGTCATGTATGGGAAAGGACAGGAGTGGACGAAACGGATGTGAAGCAAGGGGTTGGTGGACGGAGGGAAGTTTGGCGGTGGTGGTGAGAATAGTAGGGAGGTGCGGGGAGGATTGGTGAGAGCTGGAAGGAAAGGACAGTCGGGGGTAAAGATGAGCCGGGGTAAATATGGGAGTGAACGGTGGGGAGGGCAAGAGTAGGTGGGGAACGGAGGAGAGGAAGTTGGTGGGGAAAGGGAGTGTTTGTAGTGGGAGGTGGTTGGTGACGGGTGGAAGGAGCAAAGGACGGGGGCAGATTGGGGGTGTTGCAGATGAAGGTTACATGATGTGATCTGTGGCACAATCGTCTCCGCAATCTGTGCACGGAGGCGGCCTGAGCCGGAGTAGTTAATAAAACGCCGGGTGCATGTATCTTTTTCCGCCCTTGCTTTCCCCCCAGCAGCTGCTGACAGGCTGAGCTACAAGTAATGAGAGTTTAATCAAATGTCCCCGGCCACATTTACACCAGGAACCTGCCAAAATGTTACAAGAGCGACAGCTAAAGGATTCTTCTATTTCTGGGATCGAGACCCGAGAACATTAAACATTTACAGACGATTCTTTTCTCCAAGATTGGTTGAAGAATTGCAAATTTCAGCAGCTCACCTTATTCCGGAAGTCTAGCTTTCACTGCTAACGACAACTTCCTCCACCTTACAGTGGGGTTGGAATTTGAAACTGATCCCTGTTTTGATTTTCTTTTCCTTTTTTTTTCATTTTATTTGTTTTACTTTCTTTTTTTCCTTTATTTAGTTTTTTTTCTTGTTTATTCCTTCTTTTCTGTTTTCCTTTTTTTGACCATATTGACTGTGACATTTACAACCTGCATGAAGTATGTCATGATTACGTTTTGTACTTTGCAAATTGCTGCATGCCACCAGAGGCAAAATGGTGTTGACAATTAATGTTAAGCGGTTTGTTATTGAACATTGTAAAATGTTAAAAAAAAAAGTCCTTTCTTATCAAATCCCTCCGTGGACTTACATCTCTCAATTCTTCTCCAACTTAAAAATCTTATGAAATATCTGTGCTTCTCAAACCCTGGGCTCTAGAATGAATTAGTTTTATCGTCATGTTCTCAATTAACCTCCATTGTTAATGACTACTATATACCTTTAGCTGCAAAGGCTCCAAACTTTGAAACACCCTCTCTATCTCTACTGCACTTTCCTTCTTTAAGGCATTTCTTTAATTCTACCTGTTTGCTTTATCCAAACTTGATCATCTGACCTAAAGTCTCCTTAATGTGGCTTAGTGCCATACTTTGTTCAATAATGTTCCTGTGAAAAGTGCTTATTGGATGTTTAATTATTTTGAAGGCAGTATATAAATATTACTTGTTTGATTTTGAATATTAGCAGAATTTGCAAAGATTTCTTGTAGCCTGATACACTGTGAAAATGAGGACAATACAGTTAAATATATTTCCTGTATAGAATTGTAAGATAGAACTGAGTTCTTTTGCAAATGGTTTTTGATGGCTTAAGAATACACATTTTAATTTTAGATGCATTTGAGAATGAAATGGGCAAGAAAACTCGATTGATGAATATCTTAATCCAACTCAGAAAATGTGTTGATCACCCTTATCTTTTTGATGGTAAGTGGAACAGTCATTCTGAAGAAAGAATCGTTTGTTACACTGATTATTCATCTCTGGGATCTAGGTTTAAATTTAACCCAGGGACTGGAAGAGAATATGAATTTTAATGATTCCAGGTAAAATGGTTTTGGATAATTTTTAATGCTTAAATCTAACTATGAAATGACAGCTTTACTCAAAATGAATTAAGTTTGTGTAGCAATGACTGAGCTTGCGTTTTTATGGAAATTTCTCAGGTTCTTTGGATGTTGAAAAATGCTTCACAATTAATTCATTACTTGAGAACTGCAATTGTTGTAATTAGAAAGGAAAATACAGCAGCTAATTTGTGCACAAGGTCATCCAGATAGAAGATTCATCTCTTATTATAGTGTTGGTTAAGGAAGGAACATTGAATGATTCTCTGGGGGAAAAACATCCTCTGCTTCTCTTAGAAATGTTGAGTTTGTGATATATTGAAATGAGCAACATAGAACAGTTTTGCCTTTTAATGAGTTATGTATACCTTATAATTTTCAGAACTCATGCACTTTCTGCCAATGGAAAGTGTGTTTATCTCTGCTACAAAATTTACAAAAATTAAGGAGTTTGATAAGTAAAGCTTCTATAATAAACTATTGATATCTATATTATTACAATTGCTGTAGTCATTTCTGAAAGAAAATAATAACTATTCTGAGTTTTCAGTCCTTTAGTCTTCCCTGAATTTGCTACTCTTATGTCTTTTTCTTAGGTATGGAACCAGAACCATTCCAGATCGGGGATCATCTTGTGGAAGCAAGTGGTAAACTTCACTTACTGGACAAATTACTCGCATTTCTGCATCCCAGGTCTGAATGCTAGATTCTAATCTGAAATCACAATGTCAGTACAGTGAAATCATTTTACATTGGTTGATATACGTGGAGTCAAACTTGGTCATATTTTTGTCCGTCATTCACATTTTATATCAGTATCTGCTTAAGGGATGCAGAACTACCAGGGTCCAAGAAGTAAAACTGGCTCTAGTCACTAAAATCAATACAATATCAAGTTTCATACTTAAGGTTGTCTGAAATTTTAGCTAAAAGGTGACTGATCAAGTATTTCTTTATTGATAAGAGCCAAATCACTTTGTACTGACTTATAAATCACACATTCAAGTATGTTTTCTTTGACTGAAAGCCATTTTTGCACACATATAGTCAATATTTTTTGAGCCATCTTTCTGGACTCATTTAGCCAATTCATTGGGTTTACAGAATTTAAAGAATTTGATTATGAGAACAATTTGCAATCAATATCACATTAATTGGCAACTGTTTGCAAATTATATAGTGTGAATTGAGTTTGTGCCTCTAAAATTACAGTTTCCACCAACATAAAAGTAGAAAGAAAACATTAATATATGAAGGTTAAAGTTTTTTTTTGGTTTCTTTTTGCAGTGTTTAGCACATTTTATTCCTACACTTCTCCTAAGATAAAGGAACAATTTAATTATTTTAAATATGGGAAAAAATAAAATTGTTGAATTTTTGAGTCAGTACTTGGAACTACGATGTTGTGGCCATTACAGAAACTTGGGTAACTCAGGGACAGGAATGGTTGTTGGAAGTTCCGGGATTTAGATGCTTTAAAAGAAATAGGGAGAGTGGTAAAAGAGGCGGGGGAGTGGCATTGCTAGTCAGGGCAAGTATAGCAGCTACTGAAAGGCAGTTTGAGAATGATATGTCTACAGAGTCAGTTTGGGTTGAGGTCAGGAACAAGAAAGGAGCAGTCACTTTGATGGGGTTTTTTTTAACAGACCCCCGAATAGTTGCAGAGAAGTGGAGGAGCGGATTAGGCGGCAGGTACTGGAAAAGTGCAGAAGTCACAGGGTTGTAGTCATGGGTGACTTCAGCTTTCCAAATATTGATTGGAAACTTGTTAGTTGTAATAGTTTAGATGGAGCGGATTTTGTCCAATGCATTCAGGAAGGATTCCTGACACAGTATGTAGATAGACCAACACGAGGAGAGGCCATTTGGAATTTGGTGCTTGGCAATGAACCGGGCCAAGTGTTAAACCTGTTGGTAGGAGAGCATTTTGGCGGTAGCGATCATAACTCTTACTTTTATAATAGTCATGGAAAAGGATAGGTAAATACAGCAGGGTAAGGTTTATGATTGGGGGAAGGGTAATTATAATTCTGTTAGGCAAGAACTGGGTAACATAAAATGGGAACAGATGCTGTCAGGGAAGAGCACTATAGAAATGTGGAGATTGTTTGAGGAATGCATAATGCGTGTGCTTGATATGTTTGTTCCTAACAGGCAGGGAAGATGCTGTCAAGTGAGGGAGCCTTGGTTCTCGAGAGGTCAAACGACTAGTTAAGAGGAAGAAGGATGCTTATATAAGGTTCAGGAAACAAGGATTGGAAAAGGCTCAAGAGGGATACAGGTTAGCCAGGAAGGAGCTGAAGAAGGGGCTTAGGAAAGCTATAAGGGGGCATGAGAAAACGTTGCCAGATAGGATTGAGGAAAACCCCAAGGCTTTTTACATGTATGAGAGGAATAAGAGAATGACCAGAGAAAGGGTAGGGCCGATCAAGGATTGTAAATGGAATTTGTGCACGGAGCCTAAAGAGATAGGAGAGGTCCTTAATGAATACTTTTCTTCGCTATTCACAACTGAGAGGGACTTAGTTGTAGGGGAGGACTGTGTAAAACAGGCTGGTAGGCTAGAGGAGGTAGATGTTAGTAAGGAAGATGTACGAGGAATTTTGAGGAACTTGAAAATAGATAAGTCCCCCGGGCCTGATGGGATTTATCCAAGGATTCTATGGGAAGCGAGGGAAGAGACTGCAGGGCCTTTGGTGATGATCTTTTCATCCTCACTATCCACGGGTATAGTGCTGGAAGATTGGAGAGTGGCAAACGTCATTCCCCTTGTTCAAAAAAGGGAATAGGGATAACCCCGGAAATTACAGGCCAGTTAGTCTTACTTCAGTGGTGGGCAAATTATTGGAAAGGGCTCTGAGAGATAGGATTTATGATCACTTGGATAGGCACAGTTTGATTCGTGATAGTCAGCATGGATTTGTGAAAGGTAGATTATGCCTCACAAACCTTATTGAATTCTTTGAAGAGGTGACCAAACACGTGGATGAAGGTAGAGCAGTGGATGTGGTATACATGGATTTAAGTAAGGCGTTTGATAAGGTTCCCCATGGTAGGCTCATGCAGAAAGTAAGGAGGCATGGAAATGTGGCAGATTGGATTCAGAATTGGCTGACCCTAAGAAGACAAAGGGTGGTAGTGGATGGAAAATATTCAACCTGGTGCTCAGTTACGAGTGGTGTACCACAAGGATCTGTTCTGGGTCCTCTTCTATTTGTGATTTTTGTAAATGATTTGGATGTAGGAGTGGAACGGTGGATTAGTAAGTTCGCGGACAATACGAAGGTGGGTTGAATTGTGGATAGTGTGGAGGGCTGTTCTAGGTTACAAAGGGACATTGATATGATGCAAAGCTGGGCTGAGAAGTGGCAGATAGAATTTAACCCTGAAAAGTGTGAGGTGATTCATTTTGGAAGGACAAATTTGAAAGCAGAATACAGGGTTAACGGAAAGATTCTTAGCAGTGTGGAGGAGCAGAGGGATGTTGGGGTTCATGTCCACAGTTCCCTGAAAGCTGCCACCCAGGTGGATAGAGTTGTGAAGAAGGCGTATGGTGTGTCAGCTTTCATTAATAGAAGGATTGAGTTCAAGAGCCATGAAGTTATGCTCCAGCTATACAAAAGCCTGGTTCGGCCACATCTGGAGTATTGTGTCCAGTTCCGGTCACCTCATTACAGGAAAGATGTGGAAGTGTTGGAAAAGGTGCAGAGGAGATTTACCAGGATGTTGCCTGGAATGGAGGGAAGGTCTTACGAGGAAAGGTTGAGAGAGCTAGAACTTTTCTCTTTAGAACGACGAAGGATGAGAGGTGACTTGATAGAGGTGTACAAAATGATCAGAGGTATAGATAGAGTGGACAGCCAGAGACTTTTTCCTCGGGTGGAGGTAGCTATTACGAGGGGGCATAGTTTTAAAGTGAGTGGAGGTAAATATCGGGGAGACGTCAGAGATAGGTTTTTTACTCAGAGAGTGGTAGGAGCGTGGAATGCATTGCTGGAGAGGGTAGTAGAATTGGCCTCATTAGGGGCATTTAAGCAGCTATTGGATAGGCATATGGATGATAGTATAAGGTAGGGGTGAAGGTTAGATAGACCTTAGGTTTAGGGTAAAAGTTTGGCACAACATCGTGGGCCGAAGGGCCTGTACTGTTCTATGTTCTATTAAAGGGTTAAAGTAAAGTTGCCCTAGTCTTACCAGACCGTAATGCTGCTCTCTCATTAGAGCGAGACAACAGATGGGTGTTCAACCTGAGGGTCATGATGCCTTAGGCGAGGGCAGAGTTTAGGAAGGAGTGCCCTTCATAGTAATCTCAGAGAGTACAGGAATTGAACCTGCACTGTTGGCAACACTTTATATCACTAACCAATCCCAGGTATATATACTATCATCCAGTAAGGCTACTGTATCAAGTTATTTCACAGTCTTACCAGAGTCATTTGTGTACAGTCGTGTTGACTTATAAAGGGAGAACAAACCTGGAGAATGAAATGCAACTTAAATAATTGATATATATTCAGTTACAATTTTACATTAATCATTACAGAGGTCATCGAGTGTTGCTGTTTTCTCAGATGGCAAGCATGCTGGATATCTTGCAGGATTACATGGAATATAGAGGTAAAAATCAGCAACGATTTTGTACACTGATTACGTTTAAACCAAAATGTTGAAAATAAACAGTTGCGGAACCTTGCAGTTTGCTTTATTTTCCAGTCATGTGGTCTTGGAAATGGTCTGTATTTTGCCTGATCTCAGCTGAACTTCTAAGTCTTGGCAAAAATAACTGAGAACGGTAGTATTTCGTTGTGTAATTTGATGTTACTCTGATTAAAAAAGAAATTATTCTTGCTGCTTGGATAAGTGAACAAGTCAGAACTACTGATGTCTTGTCCTGGAAGTGATGACTTAAAAGAAAACAGATGATTTTGGTCATTTAAACAAAGGTTGAAATGTTCATTGTGTTTAGTAATTTTGAGTACTGCTTGAGCTCATTTTGGATATGGAAGATGATGTTGAAAGAAGGGGTATATGATGACATGATTACACTGAAGATGTCCACCTTGACTCATGTTGTATTTGCAAGTCCAAGCTCACTAATCTTCAATTGTCTGAAGATAGATGTTTGCTCATTTTGAACGCCATGTCTCACATGCAACTCATTTCTACTCAGGAGTGACAAGCTATCTGATCCCCCAGTGTGTTCAATAAGTGAACATGATGGTACTTCAGTTCAAGGTCTCTTTCTATCAGTGTATACACTCATGAGAGATTTTTCTGTGATGTGAAAAAATGAGTCATTTGGCTCAGTTACAGATGCCTATGGTGTTACTGTGTGCCCACAATGTTTTGCAGTTGTGCTGGGTACGATGGGTGTTGGGCAGTTAATATGTCTGTTGTGATGCTGCTATGACATCTGTAAGATTGTTGTGCACAGAATCAAGTTAGACCAGATGATGTTCTGTTAGGACATTGGATCCAAATACTTGAATGTAAGCTGAAATCTAATATAAACCGGAATTTGGAAGCAGGTGCTTCTCCTCCATATCTATCATGGCAAGAGCTCTTTTCTTATTCATACATAAAAAGAAATGAACTATGGTTACTGGAAATTTTAAACAAAAGCTGAAAATGCTGATGAAACTTGGCATGTCTGATGTATCTGTGGAGAGATAAAGCAGAGTTAAGGTTTTAAGTTGAGTGACCCTTGATTCTGTCTTGTGCCACTTCCCTAAATTGTTCCAATGCTGATCCCAGCTTGATAATCCTTCAAAATGTGGATTTTATCTCTCCTGCAGGCAGAAATAATAGTGACATTTTGGAGTTTGAAGAGAGAATATTTAAGTTTAGTTTTTTCTTTATTCATTCACGGGACGAGGGCATCGCTGGCTAGGCAGCATTTATTGCCCATCCCTAATTGCCCAGAGGGCAGTTCAGAGTCAACCACATTGCTGTGGGTCTGGAGTCACATGTAGGCCAGACCAGGTAAGGATGGAAGTTTCCTTCCCTAAAGGACATTGGTGAACCAGGTGGGTTTTTCCGACAATCGGCAGTGGATTCACGGTCATCATTAGGTTGTTAATTCCAGATACTTATTGAATTCAAATTCCACCATCTGCCATGGCTGGATTAGAACCCAGGTCCCCAGAACATTATCTGGGTCTCTGGATGAACAGTCCAGCAATAATACCATTAGGCCATTGCCTCCCTTTTTATGCTTCTATTAATTGTATGCAGGTAACATAGTCCTTGTTTCAGGCCCGAGAAAACCAGTGGTCCATCTAGTCCACCTATCCACAGTATGTGCATTTCTAATAACCTTGAATCCTGTTCATTGACAAAAGCCTATCTAGCTCCTTGTTGAAATCCATTAAGAATTCTTCTTCCAGCAGGTGATTCATTCGTTAGACTTGCCCAATGCTTTGTTTAAGTGATTGTCCATCAGGAAGGTTGAAGCTGTTTTGTTGGCAGAATAGTTTCAGGGCAAAACTTTAGTGTTGTAAGTTTAACAAAATTTGAAAGTGAAATGCTCGTGCTGTAACGTACTAAATTTGAAACTGAACTTTATTCCTGTTCAGCAAGACAACGATATCTGCCGGTTCAGCGGCGAATTAAAGTCTGGGTATAGAAATGCCGTTCAGGGGTTGACATTTTTGAAAGTCCTATTTGTCTGTTCAGTTGGAAGGAGAATCTTCTCTTATTGTTTCTACAAATCTTTATCTCTCAACCAACAGCACTAAACAAATTAACTAGCAATTTATTTTTTTTTTTGGTTAGAGCTTTCCCTGAAAGCTGCCACCCAGGTGGATAGAGTTGTTAAGAAGGCCTATGGTGTGTTAGCTTTCATTAATAGAGGGATTGAGTTCAAGAGCCGTGAAGTTATGCTTCAGCTATACAAAAGCCTGGTTCGGCCACATCTGGAGTATTGTGTCCAGTTCTAGTCGCCTCATTACAGGAAAGCTGTGGAAGCGTTGGAAAAGGTGCAGAGGAGATTTACCAGGATGTTGCCTGGAATGGAGGGAAGGTCTTACGAGGAAAGGTTGAGAGAGCTAGAGCTTTTCTCTTTAGAACGACGAAGGATGAGAGGTGACTTGATAGAGGTGTACAAAATGATCAGAGGTATAGATAGAGTGGCCAGCCAGAGACTTTTTCCTCGGGTGGAGATAGCTATTACGAGGGGGCATAGTTTTAAAGTGAGTGGAGGTAGATATCGGGGAGACGTCAGAGGTAGGTTCTTTACTCAGAGAGTGGTAGGAGCGTGGAATGCATTGCTGGAGAGGGTAGTGGAGTTGGCCTCATTAGGGGCATTTAAGCGGCTATTAGATAGGCATATGGATGATAGTATAAGGTAGGGGTGGAGGTTAGATAGACCTTAGGTTTAGGGTAAAAGTTTGGCACAACATCATGGGCCGAAGGGCCTGTACTGTGCTGTACTGTTCTATGTTCTATGTTCTATTAAAGGGTTAAAGTAAAGTTGCCCTAGTCTTACCAGACCGTAATGCTGTTTTCTCATCAGAGACCGTAATGCTGCTCTCTCATTAGAGAGAGACGACTGATGGGTGTTCAACCTGAGGGTCATGATGCCTCAGGTGAGGGCAGAGTTTAAGAAGGATGATAGTATAAGGTAGGGGTGGAGGTTAGATAGACCTTACGTTTAGGGTAAAATTTCGGCACAGCATTGTGGGCTGAAGGGCCTGGACTGTGCTGTACTGTTCTATGTTCTTATTGTGATACCACATTTGCTTGCATAGTGGTGATTACACTTTTACATAAGCATATAAGAACTAGGAGCAGGAGTAGGCCATCTAGCTCCTCGAGCCTGCCCCACCATTTAATAAGATCATGGCTGATATTTTTGAGAATCAGCTCCACTTACCCGCCCACTCACCATAACCCTTAATTCCTTTTTACTGTTTAAAAATTTATCTAGCCTTGCCTTAAAAACATTCAGCGAGGTAGCTTCAACCGCATCACTGGGCAGGGAATTCCACAAATTCAGAACCCTTTGGGTGAAGAAGTTCCTCCTGACCTCAGTCCTATATCTGCTTCCCTTTATTTTGAGGCGATGCCCTCTAGTCCTAGTTTCACCTACTAGCGGAAACAACCTCCCTGCCTCCACCTTATCTATTTCCTTCATAATCTTATGTGTTTCTATAAGATCTCCCCTCATTCTTCTGAATTCCAATGAGTATAATCCCAGTCTACTCAGTCTCTCCTCATAATCCAACCCTCTCAACTCTGGAATCAACCGAGTGAATTTCCTCTGCACCCCCTCCAGTGCTAGTACATCCCTTCTCAAGTAAGGAGACCAAAACTGCACAGTACTCCAGGCCTCACCAGGACTCTGTATAGCTGCAGTGTAGCCTCCCTGTTTTTAAACTCCATCCCTCTAGCAATGCCAGACAAAATTCCATTTGCCTTTTTAATTACCTGCTGCACCTGCAATCCTACTTTTAGCGATTCATGCACAAGGACACCCAAGTCCCTCTGCACAGCAGCGCGGCAATTTTTTACCATTTAAAACATAGTCCATTTTGCTGTTATTCCTACCAAAATGGATGACCTCACACTTATCAACATTGTACTCCATCTGCCAGACCTTTGCCCACTCGCTTAGACTATCTATATTCCTCTGCAGACTTTCAGTGTCTTCTGCACACTTTGCTCTACCACTCACCTTCGTGTCATCTGCAAATTTTGACACACCACACTTAGTCCCCAACTCCAAATCATCTATGTAAATTGTAAACAATTGTGGTCCCAACACTGATCCCTGAGGCACACCACTAGCCACTGACCGCCAACCAGAAAAACACCCATTTACCCCTACTCTTTGCTTTCTACCGGTCAACCAATCGTCTATCCATGCCAATACATTACCTGTAATACCGTGCAACTTCATCTTATGTAGCAGCCTTTGGTGTGGCACCTTGTCAAATGCCTTCTGGAAATCCAGATACACCACATCCACAGGTTCCCCGTTATCCACCATGCAAGTAATGTCCTCAAAGAATTCCACCAAATTAGTGAAACATGACCTACCCTTCATGAACCCATGCTGGGTGTTCCCAATGGGACAATTTATATCCAGATGTCTTGCTATTTCTTCCTTAATGATAGATTCAAGCATTTTCCCCACTACCGAAGTTAAGCTAACTGGCCTATAGTTACCTGCTTTTTGTCTACTTCCTTTTTTAAACAGTTGCGTCACATTGGCTGTTTTCCAATCTGCGGAAACCACCCCAGAGTCCAGTGAATTTTGGTAAATAATTACAATGCATTTGCTATTTCCCCCATCACCTCTTTTAGTACCCTGGGATGCATTTCATCAGGGCCAGGAGACTTGTCTACCTTTAGCCCCATTAGCTTGCCCAGCACTGCCTCCTTAGTGATAATGATAGTTTCTAGGTCCTCACCTGCTATAACCTTCTTGCCATTAGTTTTCGACGTGTTATTTGTGTCTTCCACTGTGAAGACCGTAATGTCTTGGCTATTTCCTCATTCCTAGTTATTAAATTGGCCTTCTCATCCTCTAAAAGACCAATGTTTACCTTCGCCACTCTTTTACGATTTACATATTTATAGAAACTTTTGCTGCCTGTTTTTATATTCTGAGCTAGTTTACTGTCATAATCTATCTTACTTTTCTTTATAACTTTTTTTGTGGCTTTCTGTTGGCCTTTAAAGATTTCCCAGTCTACGAGTTTCCCACTACTCTTTGCTTTTTTGTATGTGTTTTTTTTCAATCTGATACTTTCCTTTATTTCCTTAGACATCCATGGCTGGCTCTCTCTTTTCCTACAGTTCTTCCTTATCACTGGAATATACTTCTGCTGAGCACTGTGAAAAATCGTTTTGAAAGTCCTCCACTGTTCCTCAATTGACGCACCATAAAGTTTTTGCTCCCATCCTACCTTAGCTAACTCCTTCCTCATTCCTTCATAGTCTCCTTTGTTTAAGCACAGGACATAGGTACTGGATTTAACTTTCTCACGCTCCATCTGTATTTTAAATTCGACCATACTGTGATCGCTCCTTCCGAGAGGATCCCTAACTGTGAGATCATTAATTATTCCTGTCTCATTACACAGGACTAGATCTAGGATAGCTTGCTCCCTCGTAGGTTCCATTACATATCGTTCAAGGAAATTATCGCGGATGCATTCTATGAACCCCTCCTCAAGGCTGCCATGACCGACCTGGTTTGACCAATCGATATGTAGATTAAAATCCCCCATGATAATTGCTGTACCATTCTTACATGCATTACCTATTTCTATGTTTATTGCCCGCCCCAACACGATGTCATTATTTGGTGGCCTATAGACCACACCTATCAGTGACTTCTTCTCCCTGCTGTTCCTAATTTCCACCCAAATGGATTCAACTTTTTGTTCAGTAGAACCTATATCATCTCTCACTACCGCCCTGATATCATCCTTAAAAATCAGAGCAACGCCACCTCCCTTACCTTCCTGTCTGTCCTTCCGAACAGTTTGATACCCCTGGATATTTAACTCCCGGTCATAACCATCCTGTAACCATGTCTCTGTAATTGGCCACTAAATGATACCCATTTGCCATGATTTGTACTGTCAACTCATCCACCTTGTTTCGAATGCTCCGAGCATTCAGATGCCAGTTTTTGCACCTTCTTTTTGGGTCCTGTTACCTCCATTACTAACAGCTCTTGAGTTCTCCTTCCCTTTAACTTTTTTCCTAATTTTCAATGGAGTTGAAGCTTCCTTGTCACGTGCTAACCTGCTGTGTTGCCTTACATTAATTGTTATTCTCCCTGTACGCTCCCTTTTCCCTCTCCCCCCCCCCCCTACTTTTAGGAGTAATTAATTGGCAGAGGAAGTGAACAGCAATGTTTACATCTTTTTCTTTCAAACTAAGGAATGACTCAATTCCTCTCTCCCCTTAACAGAATGTCAAGTACCAATTAGGGAATTCTTTTGCATGATTTATTTTGTCTGGTAGAGTTTCTAAGAAAATTGAACATGCTCCAAAATGAACTGACGGAGTCCCCATTACCTGCCAAACTCCCAAGTATATGCATTGATAGGGATATTGGAACAGCTTCGTTAATGGTAGAAGTAGTGAATTATTGCATTTTTGTTCTGTGTTCAAGACAAGAAAGATTAATTAACAACAAAGACAGAAACTGCTGGAGAAGCTTAGCAGGCCTGACAGCAGCTGTGAAGGGAAATCAGAGTTAACGTTTCAGATTGAGTGACCTTCCTCAGAACAAACTAATTAATAAGCTAGAGGGATTGAGGGCTTGCTTACAGGAACTGTATTCACAACAGTGCAAGGAACCTATCTAAGTAAAGACCCCAAAATGTAACAGCTGATGAACGAAATTACTCAAATAAACCAACTGTACCATATTAATTTACATTTCAGACATCCCAGAAGGTTTTGTGTTCAAGTCCCATTCCAGAGATTTGAGCGTATGATTTTTATTAACACTCTAGTTTAGGACTGAGGGTATTAAACACTGTTGGAATTGCTGAACTTTAGAAGAGATTTAAATGTATGCCCTTTCTGAGCAATGTAAAAGGTCCCATGGCACCACTTCAACAAAGAGCAGGGCATCCTCCATGGTGACTGGCCCAGTATTTATCCTTCAACAAAGTGAATAATCTATTCACTTCTACGCTGTGAGACAGAAACAGAAAATGCTAATGAAACTCAGTAGGTCTGGCAGTATCTCTGAAGAGATAGCAGCATCATCTGTAGTTGCAGTTTTATGGTTTGCAGTTCTGAAGAAGGGTCACTGGACCCAAATTGTTGATTCTGCTTTCTCCCCACAGATGCTGCCAGACCTGCTGAGTTTCAGATTTCCAGCATCCACAGTTGTTGGGTTTTTGATTACACTGTGAGACCTTGCTGTGCTTGCCACATTTTCTATTCTACAACAGTAACGACATGTCAAAATACTTAATTGACTATAAAGTACTTTGAGAAGTCCTGAAATCTTGTAAGGCACTGAATGCAAGACTTTCTTTTTGTATTTTTATGATTCTTCAGGTTATAGCTATGAACGCTTGGATGGATCAGTACGAGGAGAGGAGCGATACCTTGCTATCAAAAACTTTAATCAACAAGATATTTTTGTTTTTCTTTTAAGCACCCGGGCAGGTTAGTAGAAACAAGAAAGGTATGTTGTCCTAAAATCAGTCTGTCAATTTAGACTCTTAGAATTTTACAGCAAAATCCTGACTGTCTGAAAGTGTTATGAAATACCCTATTCCTATACTCTTTATATGTCTCTTTCTAAAATGTAGGATGGTTACAGCACAGAAGGAGACTATTCAACCTGTCTTCTCCAAATTGCCTGTCAGTAAGAATGACTCAATTAGTCCCACTTCTGTCCTATCTGTGTAGCCCTGAAAATATTTTCTGTTCTGATAATTATCCAAGTCCGTTTTGAAGACCATGATTGAATCGTCCTCCACACTCACAGGAAGTTTATTCCTGAACCTAATCACACACAACCCAAGTATCTTTTTCTCATTAACCCCTTCTGTCATTTTGCTGCTCACCTTAATTTCAAATCCCTGATTCTTGGCCTTACAGCCAGTAGGATGCATTTCTAAGGAGAGCTGTCTCAGCTTCACCCATCTGTCCGAAGGACTGAAGCTCATCCCTTGAGCTACTCCACATCTTTCAGATCCTTCCTAAAATGTAGTGGCCAGAAATGGGCACAATACACCAGGTGAAAATGAACCAGTATTTTATGAAGGTTCATTGTAATTTTCTTGCTTCTGTTCTCTATGCCTCTGTGTATATAAAACCTCAGATCCTGCATTCCTTTTTAACCACATTTTCAGTCTACCCTGCCACCTTCAATGATTTGTGCACATATGCCTCCTGTTCTCTGTTCTTGCACTCCATTTAGAATTGTACCCTTTAGTTTATATTGCCTCTTCTCATTATTCCTACAAGTCACATTGTACTTTCATGTATGTAATTTCATCTGCCACATGTCTCGTCATTTCCCAAGACTGTCTAATTCGTCTTGAGGTCTATTACTATCCTACCACAGTTCACTAAACCTCTCATTTTTAAGTCATTGGTAAAGTTTGAAATTGTTCCCTGTACACCCAAGTCTGGGTTGTTAATATAAGAAGGGTAGTGGTCTTAATCCTGAGTATTTAGTCCTTCCTCAATGTGGAAAACAACCATTCATTACTTCCGAGAGATAGCAAGAACTGCAGATGCTGGAGTCAGAGATTAAAAAAAAAATGGAGCTGGAGGAACACAGGAGGCCAGGCAGCATCAGAGCTTCAGACCCAACTGAAGAAGGGTCCTGACTCGAAACGTCAGCTTTCCTGTTCCTCTCATGCTGCCTGGCCTGCTGCGTTCCTCCAGCTCCACACCGTTTTATATATTCATTACTTCGCTCTCTTTCCTGTCATTTGACCATCGTTCATTGCCTTTGATATCAAGTATTTAACTACCTTTAACATCAAGGAGCCTAGCAAAAATAGAGTCATTTGAAATCAGGGAAATCGCTCTACCACTTTGAGTCATAGCTAGCACAAAGGAAGATAGTTGTGGTTCTTGGAGTTCAGTCATTTCAACTTCACAGCATCTCTGCAGGAGCTCCTTGGGGTAGATATTTTTAATCAACCTGTTCAGAGATGTTCAGCGAGACACATTTCTGAAGCAGGTGGGACTTGAACCCAGGCCTTCTGTTTCAGTGATTGTAATCAGCAAAGTGAACATCAGCCTCCAATGCTAGTATGTCTTTCCTTAGATAAGGGGCCCCCAAACTTTCCACAGTATTCTAGTTGCCATCTGACAAGTGCCTTGTATAGTTTTAGCAAGACTTCCCTATTTTACTCTATTCCTTTGGAAATAACAGCCAGCATTCCATTTGCCTTCTCTATTACCTGCTGAACTTGTATGCTACCTTTTTGAAATTTATGCACAAGAATGCACAAATTCTTCTGTGCTGTAGCTTTTGCAGTCTTTCTCCATTCAAATAATATTCTGCTCACCTATTCTTCCTGACAAAGTGCATAACCTCACATTTTTCCCACATTATATTCCATCTACCAATTTTTGCCACTCAATTAACTTGTCTATATCCCTGTGCAGACTGCGTCATTGTCACTTCTTGCCTTCCCACCTATTTTCGTGTCACCCACCATCTTGGTTGTGGTATATTCACTTTCCTTATCCAAGTATATATTATAGATATTTGTGGCTCTGGTACTGATCTCTCTGGCATACAGTCAGTATAGGTTGCTTCCCTGAAAATGTCTCCAAAATCCCAGCTGTCTGTCTTCTATTGGTTAGGTAATCCTCGATGCAGCTAATGTACTGCCTCCAACATCATGGACTCATCTTAAGTAGCCTAACACATGGTACCTTATCAAATGCCTTCAGAAAATCCAAATATATTACATCCACTGCTTTCCTTTTATCTATCCTGCGATAGGGTTAAGATTGCTTTTTTACTTTCTCAAGGAATTGTTGTAAATTTGTAAGACATGGTTTCCCGTTCATGAAGTCATGCTGGCTCTGCTTGATCATGTTGCGTATTTCTAAATGTTCTCCTCGTACATCCTTTATAGTAAACTCCAACTATTTTCCAAGAACAGGTATTAACTGGCCTATCATTACCTGCTTATCGTCTGCTTCACTTTTTAAATAAAGTTGTAACATTGGCAGTTTTCCAACCCTCTGGAACTTGTCCAGGAGGATTACTGGAAGATTACTACCAATCATCATCTGTGTAGCTACTTCCTTTAATATCCTAAGATGCATCCTATGAGATCTAGGGGACTTATTGTTCTTTGGCCTGTTAATTTCCCTAACACATTTTCTATAGTGATAGTCACTATTTATTTCCTCTCCTCCTTTTGCCCTTTGATTATTTAGTAATTTTGGATTGCTGTTGGTGTCTTCTACTGTGAAGAGGCTTGCTGTAAGGAGACCAGTGCTTCTGCAGTTTCCACCCTTGATTTCCTCAGCACCCTTAGATGGATGTCATTCAGGCTCAGTGATTTATTAACATCAAGTGCAGCCACCTTTTCTAGTACCAATTTTTAGTCCACTTACTATTTAAACAGCTTCCTCATTCATCTGTCATAATCAAGACTGACGTAATTAACACTTCAGTTGTGCCCTCAGCCTCTGCTATTTTAAAATAAACCAATTGAGTAAATGAAACTAAATTAGAATTGATGGCCACTAAGTGTCACTGTAACAAAAGTCAAATCACAAGGGAAACTTGTAATTAAAAGTTGGTGGCATTTTGGAAGTAATGGTGTACTCCATCCCTCACAGTGCCCATTGTTGGGAAGGCCTAGAGTGTATCAGTAGACACCAAATGTTCCCTTACCAATGGCACCCACGCATGGTCTTAACTGCACTAGAGAGGACACAGCATTAGGATGCACTATTATATACAATGGACCCCTCCATGGTCTGCACCTGTTTGTGACCATCTTGGCCAGAAGCAGTCACATGAGAAAGTCCTCTGATCTGCCTGTCCTTCTCTTTACCGAGTGCCCAAAGATCAGGAGCATGAGGCTAAAGCCCAAGCAGAAATTTAAAAGGAGCCCCTAACGAAACTGAAGAAAATGACTGTGGCCTCTATAATTCAGATATTCAAAGTATATGGATTCCTTGAAGCTGTCAAAAATACAGGCAGGCTGGCAGTTTGTAAAGCTAATTAAACTATGATTGTACAGGATAGCTGTTTTCTGCCTCTGCAATTTTAAGGGAACCAAGTTAGCGATGACAGTCCCTAAGGGGCATTGTAAAAGAAAACCAAAATTTCAAAGGACACATGTCAAATTTAAATTAAAATACCATCTTATGGGGTAATGATGCACTCCAGCACCTGTGGTACCTTCTGATCACAGTAGACCTGAAGCCAGTGGACACCATGTGCTACTTCTCCAAGGACACCCTGATGTGAACATAATTATAGGTGAAAGGCAGGCAGTCAGTTTTAATGAGCCCCTTCCATGGCCTACTGCCTGGACATATTAATGACCCCTTTGGACAGGCCTTGAAAGAGGCACAAGGGAGGTCATCCAACATGTGTGCTCCCTGTCCTCTGCCTCTACTATTTTAAGTAAACAAACAGTTGACCAAATCAAACCAAGTTAGAACTGAGAGTCCTTTAAGGTCCTTTGTAAGAAAAATAATATCACAAAGGAAACTTACAGAATTTAATTTTAAATATCATTTTGAGGGTTGATGATGCAACCCAGTTGTCATGGTGCCCAGCGATTGTAGAAGGTCTGAATTGTACTGGTTGATACAGTGTGCTCCCTCTCCAAGGACACTCTGGCATTAACGTAATCGTAGCAGTCAGGTGCAACTGTCCTCTCCAAAGCATGCTGTCTGGATTTATTAATAGTCTCCTTAGTCAGATCCAGGAGCAGATCCACAAGGATGTCCTCTGACCTGTCCACACTTTTCTGTATCAGGTGGCCAAAGATTAAGAACATGGAGCTGATGTGAAACTAAAAATTTAATAATAACTCCTTTAAAAATCTGAAGGGGTCTGTAGCCTGTAGTATTTATATATGCACAGAATATAGACTTCTCAAGCCTGCTAAAACGCTGTGCTTCTATGTGTACGTCCTGCTTTTGGTCCCTGATCACTCCCACCCCTCCAAAGCTAATTGCCTGATCTAAACCCTTTGTAATTCGGGACACGTCTATCAGACCCTTCTTTAATCTTTTTGTTATAATCAAAACAGCAACAGTTTCATTAGCTTTACCTCATAATTAAAGATATTTTTATCAACCTGTACAGACATGCTATGACCCACCTCTGGAACAGGTGGGATTTGAATCTGGACTTCCCTGCTCAGAGGCAGGGACAATACCATTGCACCACAAGAATTCCTCCTCATTCCCTGGTGTTGGACTAGGGTGGACAAACTCAGAAGTCACATGATACCAGGTTATAGTTCAACAGGTTTATTTGAAATTACAAGCTTTTGGAGCGCTGCTTCTTCGTCAGGTGAAGTCCTTCACTTTACTTGATGAAGGAGCAGTGGTCTGAAAGCTTGTAATTTCAAATAAATGTGTTGGACTATAACCTGGTGTCATGTGACTTCTGACCTATTCCCAATGCACTTCACCTTCTGCAAAGTTGAGTTGATCTGTTTTTTAACTAGGTGGTGTTGGAATGAATCTTACTGCTGCTGACACTGTGATATTTGTGGACAGTGATTTTAATCCTCAAAATGATCTCCAGGCAGCAGCAAGGGCCCACAGGATTGGCCAGAAAAAGTAAGTGAATGAATGTTCTGTGGTATCGTCAGTGCATATCTCATGCTGATTATTATGAATTCTTGAAGGAGTTTGATGCCGCTTCAAATATCTGGATTGTGTGTCTTTTGTAAACTTGTTAAAAACTTAGTCAATTTTCATCTTCTGTAAAGTACCTTTCTAAAATGTATTCCTCAGAGTTCTTTGGTTTGCAGTTAATCATTGAGGGTAAATACTGTTTGTCTTTGCTGTCATTTTTATTTCATAGAGCCAATCTGATTCATCTTGTGAATCTAAATTGTTGAAAGTAAGATTTTGTTTCTAAAATATCAATAAAACAATTGATGACAATTCTGCAAGTGTGAACCAGATCAAACACTATAGGTTGAGATGGCACATTGACTTGCAACGTGAGAATACAAGTACAAATGACCGTTAACACAGAAGGAACTGAGAAATCTTCTACTGACATGCAAATAGAAAGTAGTAATAGGATTTTAGGCTACATTACTTGATAAGTACTTTGTTTTCATTTGTAAACACTGATACAGTGTGTCAAAGGAAAATTGAGAGGCAGGATATACTTCAAAGGTAGCCGTGTCTGGAATAGTGAAATCATCTGGTATGGCTTTGCTTCCCAGAATGTGAAGGGAAGTTTGTGTGGTGATAGTAGGAGAGTTTGCCAAGGGAAGGTGACAGAGGACTGGAGAGTGCAAATATGACATCCTTGATCAAGAGAGTGTATAAGGATATTCCTGCTTTCTACAAGTTGGTTGGTTTAACTTCAGTGGTGGATAAGGTTGCCATTAGGGTAAGGACATGCAATTCTACTTGTTCCCTGGTCCTGGTTATGTGCCTGCTTAACTTGCTAGAGAAAGGGCGGTATGTGACTAAATGTGGTGCAAACTGTTTCACTTATGCAGCTGGCAAGGTTAAATAATTATTGGTGCATGCAGATAGTGAGATGTGGGCATGAGACTTGCAGCACTGAAATATAGTTGATTTTGCATCCTCTATTAAGTTGTGTAGTCATCCAACAGCATGCTTACTACCAGCTGCACATTAGTCATTTCAATTAGCAGGCAGCAGTAAGTTAGCACACAGCCTATATTGGAAGCAACAGTACTGTATCCTGCATCACAAACCACAGATCCATTTTCTTACACTGCCCAATTTTGCTCCAATAATTTAAATTTCAACTTCTTAACAAATTAAATGTGTACTTTCTCATCTCTTTCTGAAAGTGTGTTTCAATAACAAAAATGTTATCTATTTCTGTTATTAAGCTCTAAACAATGTAATTTTAACAATTTTTTTATATCATTTCTGAAAAGAATTTAAGCTATTTCTGTTTTTTCTGTATTAAATTGTAGGACCAGTGTCTCAGTCGCCATTTGTATAAACATTGAGTTTATTATTGACCAAATTTATAAAACCTTGTATAACATCATACATATTAAAGCCAGGTGCTCACTTGTCAAGATAAATGGAAATCACAAAAGTAATTTTCTCCTCTAAAGTAATTTCTTTATATTGAAAGGCCAGTCAAAATTATTCGGCTGATTGGAAGAGACACCATTGAAGAATTGATTTACAGACGAGCTATGTCGAAACTGAAATTGACAAATGCTTTGATTGAAGGTGGTCAGTTCTCTATGAAGGAGAGAGAAGAATCATTTGCACCTTTTGATATGCAGGTGAGAGTCTGATTGCACTTACAGTCTAAATAATCAGAGGGTTCGTGGTTCTTCTGTTGTAGCTTCTGTTGTCATTGTTGAAGAGGCATCTCGATGACCATTAGTTTGTCTTACATTTTCTGCAAATGAAATTTGCTTTTGAAGCAACATGAAGAAAGTTATTTGATTGTCTGTGGAAAGATCTACTAAATTTCTAACTCTCCTGCCAACTATTTTGATTTTGTTGCTCGTGCTAGTTTTTATTTATTTGTTAATGGGATTTGGGTGTCACTGTCTAGGCCAGTATTTGTTGCCCAATCCTAATAGCTCCTTGAGTTGAGTGGTATGCCAGGCCCTTTCAGAGCCACCCACATTGCTTTGGTCTGGAGTCACATGTGGGCCAGACAAGGTAAAAATGGCAGATTTCTTTCCTTGAAGTCACTAATGAACTAGATGGGTTTTTACAACCATCAACAGTGGTTACATGGTCACCATTAGAATCACTTTGAATTCCTGACTTTTTAATTTGATTCAAATGTCAAGTCTGCCATTGTGGGATTTGAACTTATGTCTCCAAAGTATTAAAGCCTGGGGTTCTCAATTATTAGGCTAGTGAAATTACCACTACTGGTAAGATTATTCTACCAATAAAAGCAGCTGTCCATTAACTGCTACTTTTGCTCCACCACAGCGTGTAAACAGAGATTGAGAGTCTGCAGGCCATTTGTTTACAGGGAATGTCAGAGACAAACATGTACAGAGTTAGTGCTGTGTAGTCTTGTTTGTACACCTAAAAAGATACTTCAATCTGGGTTGAACTGTAAATACTCTAGTGGTCTAAGCTGACTTTGACACAAATAGGTGCTGTTTTGCCAATGGTATTATTTTACTCTGTGATAACAAGGTGTAGAGCTGGATGAACACAGCAGGCCAAGCAGCACCAGAGGAGCAGGAAAGCTGACATTTTGGGCCTAGACCCTTCTTCAGAAATGGGGGAGGGGAAGGGGATTCTGAAATAAATAGGGAGAGAGGGGAAGGGGATTCTGAAATAAATAGGGAGAGAGGGGGAGGCGGATAGAAGATGGATAAAGGAGAGGATAGGTGGAGAGGAGTCAGACAGGTCAAAGAAGCGGGGGTGGAGCCAGTAAAGGTGAGTGTAGGTGGGGAGTTAGAGAGGGGATAGATCAGTCCAGGGAGGACAGACAGGTCAAGGGGGCAGGATGAGGCTAGTAGGTAAGAGATGGGGATGGGGCTTGAGGTGGGAGGAGGGGATAGGTGGGAGGAAGGACAGGTTAGAGAGGCGGGGACGAGCTGGGCTGGTTTTGGGATGCGGTTGGGGGAGAGGAGATTTTGAACCTTGTGAAGTCCACATTGATACCATTGGGCTGCAGGGTTCCCAAGCAAAATATGAGGTGCTGTTCCTGCAACCTTCGGGTGGCATCGCCGTGGCACTGCAGGAGGCCCAGGATGGACATGTCATCTAAGAAGTGGGAGGGTGAGTTGAAATGGTTCGCAACTGGGAGGTGCAGTTGTTTGTTGCGAACCGAGCATAGGTGTTCTGCAGAGCGGTCCCCAAGCCTCCACTTGGTTTCCCTGATGTAGAGGAGGCCATATCTGGAACAGCGGATACAGTATACCACATTAGCAGATGTGCAGGTGAACATCTCTTTGATGTGGAAGATCATCTTGGGTCCTGGGATGGGGGTGAGGGCGGAGGTGTAGGGGCTGGTGTAGCACTTCCTGCGGTTGCAGGGAAAAGTGCCAGATGTGGTGGGGCTGGAGGGGAGTGTGGAGCGGACAAGGGAGTCACGGTGAGAGTGGTCTCTCCGGAAAGCAGATTTGGGTGGGGAGGAAAAAATGTCTTTGGTGGTGGGGTCGGATTGCAGATGACGGAAGTGTCAGAGGATGATGCTTTGGATCTGGAGGTTGGTGGGGTGGTACGTGAGGACGAGAGGGATTCTGTTTTGGTTGTTATTGCGGGGAGGGGGTGTGAGGATTGAGTTGCGGGAAATGCGGGAGACACAGTCGAGGGCGTTCTCGACCACTGAGGGGGGGATATCTGTCTTCTGTATAAAATCAACATGAGTTAGAAGCATTCATTTTAATGTATTTATAAGTAATTAAGCATCAGGAATAATTTTTAGGGTTATTTAAATGATATGCCAGAAATGGGTATTTAAAAGAAAGATCATGCCTGATGAGAGAGTGACTTTTGGACTGTAAAAAGAATTGCTGCATCATGTCCACTGTCTGCTAATAGGATCAGTCACCATTTACACACTGGAAAGGATATGCCATAAGTCCTTCATAAAGCCTTTTGGCAAGTTGGTGATAGATTCTCCTGTTGTTTTTCTGGCATCCCCATCAATACACAAAACTCTTAATTGTGCATACAGTATCATCATTTACAGTCACTCCAGTGAAGTGCTCATCTGAATCCTCCTTAGCAGGACCTTTGGCGATCTTAAACCCATGCTATACTCACCCCTGTCCTGCCTGCAGGTCACTCATGCCTGGTGTCTCACCAACTGCTGATCTTTCCACTAAGACAGGCTGTAAACTAATGGGAGCCCTAATACTTTGAATTTAAATCAATGACTCGATACAAATTGAATAACTGATTGCTAGTATCAGAAGACTGAGTTATAATTAAAAAAATGGAGAACATTTGACTCCGTGGAAATAAGTAATTCAAATGTAACTATGGAGGGAAATATAATAAATCCTAGAATAAAATAAAGATGGAGCACCATAATTAGACTGACAGTATAACCTGGGACAGGAGTGAAGATTAGTAAAAACAAATTTAGTATTAATGGCGGGACATTCTTATCTCAAAGAGTGAGCAGAAAATTGAACAGTCTGCATGCTAAGAAAGTTGAAGAAAACCCCAGAAGTCATTTAAGAAACAAATAGTTCTTGATTTGAATGACGCAGTGAAGGAGACTAAAATCCTTTCCGGGTGGCTGAACCCCTGAATCTGAGCCTTCCAACTTCGCCCTCATCTTATGTTATATTAATGGGAAACTGACCAAGGTTTGCATTCCCTACTGGAACAAACATCTTAAAAGTATTAAATGAATCTGTTGCAAAAGAAATGTTATGTGTTCTTTTGTAATTGTGAATGGAAAAAAAATGTTGAAAATACTAAGTCAAAACAAAATCAAGATTAGCTAGAGAGAGTAGGAACTGCAGATGCTAGAGAATCTGAGATAACAAGGTGTAGAGCTGGATGAACACAGCAGGCCAAGCAGCATCATAAGAGCAGGAAGGCTTTTTTTGGAAGGAGATAGAAGCGGGTGGTGCGGAGCCTTCCTGCTCCTCTGATGCTGCTTGGCCTGCAGTGTTCATCCAGCTCTACACCTTGTTATCTCAAGATTAGCTAACTTGTTTTATTCTGCTGTTTAAAAACACGTATGTATGTATGTGTTCATCCAGCCCTGCACCCTGTATTAATTTAGTGGTGATTAGGGAGCCTTTGCCATAAATAAATTTACTTGGCCTTTTTTCTACAGTTAAGTGACATCCTGAAATTTGGTCTGGATAAATTACTGTCTACTGAAGAGAGCACTATCGAAGATATTGATATGGAAAATATTCTAGGGGAAACCAGGAATGGATCATGGATCACTAAGGAGCAGCCAATGCAGACAGTTGAAGCAGATGAAGAGCCAGTGGGAACAAGTATGTGTTTGTGATTTACTACATATATCAGGGCTTGTCAGGCTTGAAGATCTTTACTATTAATTTGAGTTACTCAGTTCCTTAAAATTTTTTATACTTCATTAATCTTTCTAATCTATATGGTTAATTCATGGTCTCCACATTGAGGATAACTTCCATCATGTTTTGTAGCACTATCACCATACTAAATAGGATAGATTTGAATAGATCTAGCACTCAAGACTATGAATCAATGATGCCCTGTGGGCCATGATCAGTAGAATTGTGCTTCAACACAATCTGCAATCTCATGCACCCTCCACTCAACCATTACCTTCAAGCCAAGGATCAACCCTAGTTGAATGAAATGTGAAATATGGCATGCCAGGAGAAATACTAGGCAAAGCTAAGAATTAGATGCCGACCTGATGAAGTTACAACACAGGACTAGTTGCCTGCCAAAAAACATAAGCAGTGTGTGATGGAGCTAAGTGATTCCACACCAATGGATTACGCCTACATTCTGCTATCCTGCCACATCCATTGCTGAGTGGTAGTGGGCAATTAAACTACTCAAAAGGGAAACAGGCTTGATGAATATCCCCAACCTCAATAATGGAAAAGCCCAGCACATCAGTGAGGAAAAAAATGCCTGATGCATTTGCAACTGTCTTCAGCCAGAAGTGCAGAGTAGATAATTTATTTCTTCCTACTCTGGATTCCGTCCTGAACAATACTGTTATGTACCTGCAGTGGTTCAAGAATGTAGTTCCCCACCACCTTCACGAGGCAGTTAAGGATGGGCAGTAAATGCTGGTCCAGCCAGAGAAGCCCATAATCCCCCGAGTGTTTCATTTTTTTCAATCAGATATGTAAAAATGATATGCAAACTTCTTTCAATAAAACCTTTACTCCCAGAACTGTGCTGCTTGCATATTTTTTCGCTTATTTTTGTCAAGTCACAGGACTCCTCACTTGTCAAATGCTGTAAAGTCTGAAGATACCTCTTTGCTACCAGATTACAAAATCCCTATCCCCTTTCTTGCCAAGTCTGGAGCTGCCCTCCATTTTATAGAATTCACCTTTACCCACATCATCATCCTGAAAGCTGCTGAATAGTATATACATCGTCCTATATACATTGCCAAGGGAGGTGATGGCCTATTATTGCTGGACTGTTGATCCAGAGACCCGGACAACATTTTGGAGACCCGGGTTCAAATCCCACCACGGCAGATGGTGGAGTTTGAATTCAATAAAATATCTGGAATTAAGAATCTAATGATGATTGTGAATCCATTGACGATTGTCAAAAAACCCATCTGGTTCACTACTGTCCTTTAGGGAAGGAAACTGCCATCCTTACCTGGTCTGGACTACATGTGACTCCAGACCCACAGCAATGTGGTTGACTCTTAACTGCCCTCTGGGCAATTAGGGATGGGTGCAATAAATGCTGCCTGGTCAGCAACACCCTCACCCACTGAACGAATAAAAAAAAGCATAACAAAACTGTATATTGCTGTAGTGCATCAATTTAATAGTTAACTCACAAGTCATTAAATTGTTGCTTTGCAACCCAGGTATCTTAAAAATATAAGATTTTAATTCAAGTCTTAAACTAGTTTAATCTGCAGCTAAGGTATGATCCCTTTGGGTGCAGAAAATTATTTTGTCTTAAGTGGCCAAATGGAGTCAAACTTGTTATACTGTAAACTATTACCAAGGGCTTATTTATTTTAGGCCACATGTATCAGTATGAGGGGAAAGATTATTCTAAAGAACCCAGTGCAGCAGATCAGAAAACCTTTGAGCAACTTCTGGACCTTCACAAAATAGTACTTGAAGAAGCCAGTAAAGGAGGAAGATCACTCCGCACAAAGTCTAAGGTAAAACAATTGTACCAATTCCAAGGATTCTATGTAAATTGCAAATGCAAACATTGTGCTGTTACGTAATTGTTTTCATAGTTCATAAGCTTCAGCGTGCCAAGTTCTGAACGTACTGACAATTATGATATTAGCATTAAATATCAATTATAAAAGAGTAACAAAATTTGTAAAGTCACAGATGATCACACCTGATCCCAATTAATAATATTTCATATTATTAGTATAGTATAGGCCATTTTGCAATTTGAGCCTGCTCTTCCATTTAGTGACATGATGATATTCCAAACCTAACTCCATACGCTACTAATATAATTTTGGTTTCAAAGTTAATAATACATTCAACATCAACATCTCAGAAGAGAATTCCAAATAACTAACACCCTTTGTGTGAAGAAATATTTCCTAATTTCATTCATTCTAAGTTTTAGAATATCCTGCCATACCCTAGACTCATCAACCAGTGAAAATACTTTTTCTTCTCGTGCTAATCTACCTGTTTCCCTTTAATATTTTGAAATTTACAATCATTTCAAGTCTCAACATTCTAAATTTCAGGGAACACAACTCGAGTTTGTTCAATCCTTATTTCTTAACCTACGGAATCCAAGTATCATTTTAAAAAAATCTATGTTGCTGACCTATCCTCCATAAGGTAGGGTCTGCAAAACTGCTTGCAATGATCCACATTTGGGTCAACCTAGAACTTTGTATAACTGAAGTATGTCTTCCAGCCCCCTGTATTCCAGTCCTCCAGACATAATTATTTTTTGTTACCCAGAAAGATATTTGAAGAATCTGGTGCCAAAGTCAGACACTGTTTCAAAATCCATCCAAATATGATTCAAAAGACAAAAATAGTATTAGACTCAAAAAAAGGGCATTTATTTCTGCAAAGATTAACGGCAGATCAGAAGACTGGACATGATATAAAAAACAGCAATGAATTACAAAAAAATGAATAAGAAGGAAAAATTTAGAATACGAGAGAAAGTTAGCTAAAAATTTGGAAGCAAATAGGAAAGGGTTCTTCAGATATTTAAAAAGTAAAGGTTTTAACAGAGTAATTATTGGTCTAATACAAAATGAGTCTGGGGAACTAATAATGGAGTATAGAGATGGTGAACAAACCTAACAGGTATTTTGCATTGGTCTTCACTAAAGAGGATGCAGTTGCATCCCGGAAATTGCTGTAAATCAGAAATTGAAAGGAAGGGGGATCTGAAGAAAATTACAATACCGGAGAAATAGTACTAAGGATTCTTAATGAGGTTGACAGAGTAAATGCTGAGAGGATATCTCCCCTCGTGGGAGAGTCTAGGACCAGAGGGTGTAGTCGCGGTATAAAGGGGTGCCAATTTAGAATTGAGATGAGGATTTTTTTTTCTCTGAGGGGCGTGAGTCTTTGGAACTCCTTGCCACAGAGTTGTGGGCTAGAGTCTTTATGCATATTTGAGGCTTGATCAGTTGGAGAATCAAGGGATACGGGGAAAACACAGGAAAGTGGATATGAGGAATGTCAGATTTCAGTCTCCAGGTCCTGATGGATTTCATCCTAGGTTTTTAAAAGAAATAACTAGTGAGATAGATGATGCATCGGGTTTAATTTTCTGAAACTCATTAGGTTCTGGGAAGGTTCCTTTATATCGGAAAATAGGTATTTGAACTCCTTTATTCAAAAAAGGGGTGCGGGAGTTAGAAAGCAGGAAACTATAGGTGAGGAGCTGTTCAGGGGTGGGTGTAGATTCGATGGGCAGAATGGCTGCTTCCACACTGTAGGAATTCTATGATTCTATAGCTTTCTTATTTCTTATCTATTCAGGTCCTTCTGGCTGCTCCACTGGATCTGACCATGAAAAAAAAACGAATACTATCACCTGAAGAACTTGAGCAACGGCGTCAGAAACGTCAAGAGGCAGCAGCTAAACGTGCAAAATTACTATCTGATAAGAAACAGCAGCGAGAAGAGGAAGAACACAAAAAAAAGTAAGGAATTGCTTCATTACCACTTCAATTCTTTTTCGCTGGTTTAAGAAGGGTATTACTAAAAGTTGTGTCACAGGTTAGCAAGACCAACTGAAACAAAAACAGGCACTATACTTTATTTTTAGAAGGATAGAATTGCAAAATAGTGATACAATGCAGGGTAGTTAGGAATAACCACTTTCCTCTTTATATCCTTTTGTAGATTCTAGTTGCAAATAAGAAATGAACATTGGTTTTAGTACCTGTTTCTTGCATATCAATCATCCTGTTGCTTTCAGTTTTATTCTCTTTTTATTGGAAATTTTCTTCCCTTCACTCCTGAAGGCATTGATTTCCTGTGGAATTACAGTTCCATTTCCTTCAATCTACTTCTAACACTTCATTGTCCATTATTTTTACATCAGTCCTAATGGTGAGAATTGGCAGGCCACTTGTTTGGTGGGTATATTTTGTACAAACTGAATCCTGTCTCCTCTGGTTGTTGATATACAGGGACCTCCAATTGAGATCGGTTTATAATGAGCAGATACACTAATCAGCTAATTAAGAAAAACTGAGAATCAAGTCTGGGCTATTTGCAGTCTATATGGCCATTGGCAGCTGAGCCATTGTATTACTTCCTTTCTCTGATGGGGAAAAGTGTAAGGCTAACAAGGTCAATATTTTAAACCAAGAATGAAGAAACAATGTCATATAGGATGTTCCAATGTACTTCATATAAATGAATTATTTATGAATTATAGATGTTTTTGTAGGCAAGCATGGCTGCCAATTTACACACAGCCAAGTGCCACAAACAGCATGAGATGAATGACCATTTAATTTGTTTTTGGTTCAGGATAAATACAGGTATGGCCATCAGGAAAAATATCTTACTCTTCTTTAAAGGGGCAGATAGATCTGTGGCTTAAGATCTCATTCTGAAGATGGTATTTTGAAAATGAAATGCTTTTTCAGAACTGAATTGTTGACTTAAATTACCTGCTGAATTCTTGGAGAGGGGTTTGATGTTTATGCCATTCTGACCTAGAATCATAGAATCCCTACAGCATGGAAGCAGGCCATTCAGCCCGTCGAGTCCACACCAACCCTCCAACGAGCATCTGACCAAGACCCGCCACCGACCCCTCCCCAACCAATCCCTGTCACTCTGTATTTCCCATGGCTAATCCACCTAACCTTCACATCCCTGGACACTATGAGCAATCTAGCAAGGCCAAACCACCAAAGCTGATTTGCCTTGAAGTTTTATCATTACACTGAGGCTGATCATATTTCATCTTCAGAAACACTTTACAATACCATTGTTGCAGTAGATTATAAAGATAGCGCATAGAACCATGTAACACTTCATTAAACTGTCAAAAGGCCTCAAAATATTTCAGAACTAATTGATTGCTTTAAAAATACAATATTTGTTTTTTCAAGAGCCTACACCAATTTGTTAGCAGTGCACCATGTCGGCTTTAAATAGCATTAATGTAGTTTTAAATAATATCTCTCCTCAGGATGGCTTGGTGGGAATCTAATGGCTACAGATCTCCCTGTCTTCCATCATTGAGTAGTGAGAGTGATGATGAATCCGAGGAGGATGGAAATGACCTTCCCGGTGATCTGGATTCTACAGATACAGAACAGACATCCATTCACTATATTCTTGGGGATGTCACTCACCCAGTGGCTGCTGACAAAGAGGATGCGATAATAGTGCACTGTGTTGGCAAGTAGAAAAATAATATGTTGTATTATAGAAGTCTTGTGTTTTGGATGATAGAATCTAGTCCTGTTCACCCATCACTCTTGTATTTGATGGTCTACACTGGCACTTCAAGTAGTAATACAGTGGTTTTAAAGTTCTCATCATTGAAGTTCAATTTCCTTCACGTCTCGCTCCTTTGTATCTCTGCAGTCTCCCCCAGCTCTGATTTGTGTGTACTTCTCCACTTTGTTTGCACATCCCTGACTTTTATAACAACACCATTGGCTCTAGGCAGACTGATGTTAGGTTTGCCATTTGACACATGGCTTGTGCATGGAATAAAATCTGCAGATTCCCACCTTCAGACATTCTGTCAGGATTTTACCACAAGCTTCAGGACCCAAACATCAGAACAAAATGGGGTTCCAGAGGAGGCAGATGACCAAGCAAGGAGGCTGGGGAGGCTCCTGTACTGCTGGCCCAATAGAAGAGTTGGAAACTGGAGCCTTGACAGTACTACTGGTGCTGCTGAAGATCTCCCAGATTAAGAGAGCACCCTCAGAGCAGAAAGTATTAAATTAAGAGTTAGAGGGATTGTGCAGATAGCCTGTCTGGATGCAGGGTGGTCCAATGGTTATGGAGCCTCCTGGGCTATCACAGCGTGGCCATTTGCATGAAGCTGGAGGGTTGTGGAGGTGGGGTGTGGTCTACTCAGTTGCTGATCAAATGCTGAATATTGTTTTAATAGGAGATGTGTACAATATCTCACTCTTCTCTTCAGCAACAGTTATACGTCAGTGAGCCACTGTGATGTGGCTTCCTGCTTTTTTTTTCTGGCCAACCTGCCATCTCACGGCTAGGAAAATCCTGCCCACTGACTCTGTTCCGTTGAATGGATGTATTATTCCTATAAGAGACAAGCAGCTAACGTGCTAGAGTTGTTTAACAGAAGCAGTGATTCCTGTTCTAGTTCTGATCTAAGGAAGCTGCCCATAATTTCCTAACTATTTGCTTTATTTCAGCAAGAACATCTGCAGCTTTTAACACAATGAAGTGTCTCAAGTTGCCTCACAGGACCTTTATAAAATAAAGTATGATAGCAAACCACATAAGGAGATTTTAGGTTAGATAACCACAGCTTGGTCAAAGTGATATGTTTTAAGGCATGTCTTAAAGTATGAAAGTGAGTTGGTGAAGCGGCGACATGCAGGGAGGTTGTACCAGATTTAGGTTGTATATAACTGAAGGCATAGCCACCAATGATGGAGTAAATAAAATTGGAGATGTACAAGAGGCCAGAATTAGGGGGGAACACATTTCTGAAAAGATTCTTGTTGATGCAGTTTTCAACCCGTGCAAGTAGATTAATACCAGATCATCTTTTATCCATGAAAACCTATGGATGTAACTAATTCTGCCCTTGATGCCCTGCTGCAAAGTAAAGCCAAAGAAAATGAGAAGAAAAATGCTACAATTCAATAAGGCAGGGCATTGGTGCAAGTTTGAGGTGAGTGAAAAGGAAGAAGAGCGACAATAAAACACTGTCTTAAGAAAAGTCAAAGTACCATTCTCGCAGTTGCCCGTTAATCACCTGAAAAATATTTCTGAAAATTTATGTTGCTGGATTCTCACAGTAGCACAATGTTCAAAGCACTCATTTGTTAATAAAATATCAAAATTAATAATTTTGGAGTCAAGGACCCTCTCCACAAGAAACCAGTTTGATTCAATCCAAATAATTGCATCTTAAGACAAGTTTAATTTGGTTTTATGTTTTATTTGTCTTGAATTAAACATTCTTTCAATATTTACTATTTTTAGATGACTCTGGAAGATGGGGAAAAGGAGGTTTGTTTACAGCTTTGGAAGCTAGGTCCAATGAACCAAGAAAACAGTATGGGCGAGCAGGGAAGATGAAAGGTACGAGAGAGCAAAATACCTTTTTGTTTCTTTTCTTTAATATGTTCAAAATTTAAAGATAAAGGACCTCAGTTGGGCAATTTATGAATGTGCCGTTTCACCTGAAAGTCTAATTAAGCCCAAAAGATATGTTGCATGTCACAAACAAAGCTGAATTACAATCAAATGGTGCTGTGAAGAATAATGGTGACATAAGTGTTTCATATAGTAAGCCAAAAGGGGAAATGCCGAACAAACTCTCTAAAAATATAACTAGCCACTGATTAACAAAATAATTAACAATTAGATCAGACAAAATTTCATTATTATAGATAATGAACACATCTCTCTTTCGTATAATTTGTCATTGATATTTCTATTACAATTATTTTGTTATTCCAGATCTTTCTCTGGGAAGTGTTCTTCTATTTCCCATTGATGACAAGGAGTCAAGAAATACAGGACAAGACCTGGTAGGGATAGATTACTTATTCTGTATTAACGTTACCAATTATCCTTGAACAGAACCAACATGTGTTGATACTTTGCCTTAAGTTTAGCTAACGTCTTTTAATTGTCTTCTAATCCTTTGATAATACAAAACTTGAATATTGCTGAAAAAATACACATTTTTCAAACCATTTTATACTGATAAGTGCAAGGCAAAACTCTTCGACAAGATGTATTTTTTTCAGCAATGCTTATTTTCATTATTATAATTTAAGATCAACTAATCGCCTCCACTGTTTATTCTATACATTCGACTTAAATGCAGTTATAGCAGAATAGCAGAGTGAGCAGAAACCATTGCTAACCATTGCCCACCATTGCCCAGGAATACATCAGAAGAAAGGCAGAGATCCCAGGGGTGTAGATCATCCTTATGGCAATGTATCAATGGTAGACTCCTACCCCTGTTCCCAATTCCCAATGGCCTTAGTGCAGCTGCCTATATCACTGGCACCTACTCTTGAAGATAGTCTGGGAGTGTTGTTTAAGATCTAAATGGTAAAGCAAACCTGAATTGTTTAAAATCTCTATTTCCTGCTCCGTGTACGGCCTTTATACCATGAGGTTGCTATTAGACATCTGCTCACCATTTTATTCCAAGCAATATAATCCCTATCATAATAGAAAATTGAAATAATGTTGCGTTTCCACTGCAGAGGGTGTGTGTATGGAATGAACTACCAGAGGAAATGCTGGAGGCTGGTAAAATTACAACATTTAAAGGACATCTGGATGGATATATGAATAGGAAGGGTTTGGAGGGATATGGGCCAAATGCTGGAAAACAGGACTAGATTAATTTAGGATATCTGTTCGGAATGGACAACATAGAAAAGTATAGCACAGTACAGGCCCTTCAACCCACGATGTTGTGCTGACCTATTATCCTATTAAGATCAATCTACCCTACATACCCTACATTTTACCATCCTCCATGTGCCTATCGAAGAGTCGCTTAAAAGTCTCTAAAGTATCTGACTCCACTACCACTGCCAGCAGCGCATTCCACACGCCCACCACTCTCTGTGTGACAAATTGGACCAAAGGGTCTGCTTCCGTGCTGTACATCTCTATGGCTCTATGACCAGATTATTCCCTCTTTCCAGTTCTGACCAATGATTGAAATTGTAGTTTGCCTCCATATCATCTCTTACTCATGATTATTATATCAATCCTGTGGTTTTCAGGACATTACGAGCCACAAAAGTATTTTATAACCCCTTATAATTATGCCATTTATATAGCTTAGTAAATCAATAACTTAACATTCCCTCTGAACCATTCTTTATATTTGTACAGGTTCCAATTGTCCATTTTGTGGACATTTAAACAGCTGATAATACTTAATGTTTAATTTGTTTGACCAAGCAAATGTTTTTCTAGTTAGCATTGATAGTTGCACAGCAAAGAGATCGTTCCAACAATCTTTCTGGAATCAAATTGACAGCTTTAGAAGAAGGACTGCAAAAACTCTACAGAGCTGCTAAGAGAAGGAATGGTATGTGAATACTAAAATAGTCATGTAAATGTAGCCTCAGAAAATTAACCATGGAAGGTGATGGCCTAGTGGTATTATTGCTGGACTGTTAATCCAGAGACCCAGGTATTTTTAATGGGTTGAATTTGAATTTTAAAAAAAATCTAGAGTTAACAGTCTAATGATGACCATGAAGCCATTGTCGATTGTCAAGAAAAAGCTCATCTGGTTCACTAATGCCCTTTGGCAAGGAAACTGCCATCCTTATCTGGACTGATCTACATATGACTCCACACCCGCACTCTTAACTGCCTTCTGAGCAATCAAGGGTGGACAATAAATGCTGGCCTAGCTGGTGATGCCCTCATCCAGTGAATGGATTAAAAGAAAAAGCAAAAGGATCTTGCTGTGCACTGACATTAAATTATGTACAAGTCTGGTGCTAAAGAGTGGCTGAAACTTGTTTCATTTTACAGAAACGAAAGAACTGCAAATGCTGGAAATCAGAAACAAAAACAGAAATTGCTGGAAAAACTCAGCAGATCTGGTAGTATCTGTGGAGAGAAAGCAGAGTTACCATATCGGGTCCAGTGACCTTTCTTCAGAAAGGAGTGTTTCTTCAGTACTAAAGAAGGGTCACTGGACCTGAAACATTAATTCTGCTTTCTCTCCACAGATGCTGCCAGACCTGCTGAGTTCTTCCAGCGATTTCTGTTCTTTTTTGTGTACTCGCTTCATTTTGTTTCCTTAATAGTCTTGCGACCTGAGCATGAATTTGCATAATAACTTGAGTATTGGTTGAAGTGAAATAACCTCAACACCTACACTGTGCTTGTAGTGTAAATAAAGCGGAGATTTGACAGCACAGAAATAAGGCCTTATGGGCTGACATTTCTACACTAAGTTCTTTTTCACATTTGTTCATGGGATGTAGGCGTTGCTGGCTAGCCCAGTGTTTATTGCCTTCTTCTAACTACTCTCGAGCAGTTGGTGATCAGCTGATTTTTTGAACTGCTGCAGCCTTGATATGTAGCCCACAGATCTCTCAGGATGAGATTTTCAGGATTTTGACCCAGCAACAGAGCAGGAGTAGTGATATAGTTCCAAGTCCCAAGTCAGAATGGTATGTGTCTTTTGTAGGTCATAGGGGCTCCCATGCATCTGCAGCATTTGTTCTAGGGGGCAGTATTTGTGGGTTTGGAAGGTGCTGTTGTCCATCTTGTAGATGGTACACACTGTGGTTTGGTGATGAGGGGAAAGAATGCCGAAGGTGTTAGATTGGGTACCAATGAAGCAGACTGCTTTGTCTTGAGGAGACAAGATGTGAGTCACTCACCACAGATGTCCCGGCCTTGGAACTGCTCTTGTACCAACAGCATCTCTATCTCTAGTTCCGTTTCTAGTAAATGGTAAAACCCAGGATGATGTTTGTGGAGATTTAAGAATGATGCTACTATTGAATGTCAAGGGAGAATGGTTAGATTCTCTTTATTTGATATAGTCATTACCTGGCATTAGAGAAGAATGGATGTTACTTGCCACTTATCAGCTCAAGCCTGATGTTGTTCAGGTCTTTCTGCATATGAGTATGGGCTACATCAGTAATTGAGTAATGAATGGCACTAAACATTGTGTAATCATCAGTGAACATCACCTTTCCAGAACTTGCATTGGAGGGAAGGTCATTGAAGCAGCTGATGGTGTTTGGGGCCAGGACACTACCCTAAGTGCAGATGTCTCCTTGGACTGAGGTGACTGACTTACACCAGTCACAACTATCATCTTTTGTGCTGGATATTCGCTCTGACCCCTTTTGATTCCAGTATTACTAGAGATCCTCGATGCCATACTTAGTCCAGGGCTGTCCGGATGTCAAAGGTAGCCACTCTCACATCACCTCTGCAGTTCAGCCTTTTGTTCACCTTTGGACCAAGGCTGTAATCAGATCAGGCTGTATCAGAACTCAATCTCAACATGAGCAAAGAGATCCGTATAAGCACGTGCCACTTGATTGCACTGTAGATGACCGTTCCATCACTTTCTGATCGAAAGAAGATTAATAGGGCAGTAATTAGCCAGGTTGGATTGACCTGCTTTTTGTGAACAGTACTTAGGTCCAAACTACAATGTGGGTGTACCTGTACTAGATGGGCAGCAGTTGTTCAAGAAGACAACACACTACCACCTTCTCAAAGACAGTTTGGATGGACAATAAACACAGCCTTTCCAGTAGCCACTACATCTCATGAAAGAATAAAAGAAAAAAGGAACATTTAAACTCTGTTAAAATTTGTTTTGAATACCATTAGCTTGATATCTTTTTCTATTTAATCCTCCTCAAAACATTTTTTCCATGCGTTTTATTCAATAGTATTGATATACAATTGCATATGCAATTATATTTTGACAATGTATCTTGGAATCATATTTAATTCTTTATTTTCAGCAAGTGTCCATCTCCCACGAATAGGGCACACAACCAAAGGATTTAACTGGTATGGCACTGAAAGACTTATTCGGAAGTACCTTTCCTTGAAAGGCATATCAACCTACATGTATCCTTGTTTTATCCATCATTCATCATTTATCCAGGTTTGAGCAGAAACCTGATTGTCATAAAATTCAATGTACTGCATGAGAAGTGCATTTGTCGAAGTATTACTTTGTTGAATTCTTAGAAAGAAAAATTGAATGTGTCAGTAGGAACTGAAGAAAGTACTTATTATGCTAATAATATTCTCATGTTTAATTACTATTTGAATCTTATTTTGCTGAAATCCCCTGGGTCAAAACACATTTTTGACATTGTTTCTAAGTCCCTGCTTTGACTTGATATCTGAAAATCCTTTACCACCTCTTTCTTTCCAACTTGGTGTGTAGAAGTTGGTTTCAACACCACTAGACTCAGACTGTTGGGGTTTTTTGCCATTCATGGTCTTCCACCTATATCTGAAGATACTTTTATATCCTTAAGACAGACAAGGCTACGGTGGCAGGTGAAGCGAACCACAATAAAAGTTATGAAGCTGCCCACATCCAAATGCAGCAAAACCTGGACAGCATTCAGGCTTGGGCTGATCATTAGCATGTAGGATTCACACTAAGCAATGGATTATCTCCTACAAGACAGAATGTAACCATCATCCCTTGACATTCAATAGTATTATATCACAGAATGTACCACTATCAAGATCCTAGGGCTTACCATTGGCCAGGAACTGAGCTGGATCAGCCAGACATAAATTCTGCGGCTACAAAAGCACATCGGAAGCTAGGGAATCCATACGAGTACCTTAATCCTAACTCTGCCTTCCCTAAAAGCGTCTATAACCACATGGACTGTAGATTCAATAAGGTAGCTCAATACCACCTTCTCAAGGGCATTTAGAGCTGGACAATAAATGCCTTCTGACAGAAATTCTCATCCTATGAATGAACTTTTAAAAATTGCAGTTTTGTTCTGATTTTAAAAAGCTGCTATATGAAATAACAAAGCTACTAGAGTTAACTGCCTTACCAACCCCAACGCCGTTTTACAAGGGGTATACATGATGAGGAGTGAACAGAAAGTGAGAAATAATTATATATTGTTAAAAATATTGAAAAGATCATGAGTAAGTTCAAAAGGAAATGATAAAAGTATGGTCTCCAATCAAGGTTTCATATTTTTGGGAACTATTGACTACCCTTCCACAGAGAGGATTTTAAGTGAAGTGACTTTAAGTGCATGGTGAAACATATTTGGCATTAAATGACTGGTGGCTGCCTGCTGATACAGGCTGAACATAATAATGAATCTTTTCATCAAAATGGGTAAGTTTGAGTCATGCTAAATATTACGCTATGGGCCTTAATTGAATTTGGGTGACAAGCATGGATGTTTGCATTGTACAACCAGATAGATTACTGTTAAAGCAGATTTATATTTCAGGTGAGACCACATGTAAACTCGGAGATCGTTTTGTAGAGCATCTGCGCTCTATGCACGACAAACGACAACACCTGCCGGTCACCAACCATTTTAACTCCCCCCACCCCTGCCACTTCCCACTCCTGGGGTGGCATGTCCATCCTGGGCTGCCTCCAGTGTCACAATGGCACCACTTGCAAACTGGAGGGGCAGCATCTCATATTCCGTCTCGGGAGCCTACAGCCTGATGGCCTAAACATGGAATTCACAGTTTTAAAATCTCCCCACCCTCGGCCTCATCCCATGTCCAACACTACCTCTCATCCCCATCACCTTGACTTGACACAACCTGTTCATCATCTCTCCCACCTATCCACCCTCCTCTTTCCACCACCCAATCCCCACAACTCCCTACCTGCACTCACCTATCACCATCCCACCTACCTTCCCCAGCCCCACCCCTCCTGTCTCTATTTATTTCCAGGCTCCCTTCCTCCTCCCCATTTCAGAAGAAGGGTCCTGACACAAAATGTCAACTTTCCTGCTCCTCTGATGCTGCCTGGCCTGCTGTGTTCCTCCAGCTCCATATTGTATTGTCGCTATACTTAAGGTCATTGCTTAATTTGCAGCGTCCCTCTGAGGCATCTGAGTAAGGCTTAAGTAGAGGTCTACAGCATGGAAACAGGCTCTTTGCCCCACTTGCCCATGCTGCCAAGTAGTATATGATTTTTAGGAATGCTGCTAAGTTAGCAAGAGCACCTGGTTCCTCATTGCCCCTTTCAGGAGATACATTAATTCAGATTTTCTGATGGCCAGATAGTCACTTTTGAAACCTAGATGGGATTTACACATGGGGCCCTTGCGGAATTCCAATGTAGCAGTCTCTGAAGGAATTGCTTGAAAAATTGAACATTCCGCTAGGCAATTTCCTCTATGCCTAGAATCCTCCAAAAAACTTTAAATCTATTTACGTCGGCGTACACAAAGGGTCCTGCTGCAATGAAGTAAACAGTTACTCAAGAAACATTAGACTATCAAATACGTCCTAGCTTCGAGTAACTATTCAACTGACCCCTAACTTAACTCATGGGCCTCTAAAATCCACTCAGACACCGACTCACCATGCCACTGGACACAGTATCTCCCTCTATGCTCAGGACATGATACTTTTGCCCTGGTGCTGGACCTGACTAACCCACCCACCTTCTCTTGCCCTGGAACTGACTGGAAATACTGCTCCGTATTTCTAAAAGAGCCCTAATTGGAATCCCTCTGGATCCCCCTGTCAGAAATGCAGACCTCTTTAGTTGTGTTAAAAAATGAGAATGCCAGCAAAAAAAAATGCTCTATATTATTAAATATGGAATTGTTTTGAGTTCTCTAAGAGTCCCTTTAAGTACAATTCAATAAAAGTATGAAACTGCGGATGCTGGAGAACTGAAACAAAATCAGAAACTGCTGAGAAGTTCAGGTGTGGGGCAACTGTGACGAGAAAAACAGTTAACATTTTGAGTCAAATGTAACTGTTCTTCGGAACCCAAATAAATCAAGTCGAACTCAAAATGTCAGCTTTGTTTCTCTATTCACAGATGCTGTTAGACCTGCTGAGTTTCTTTAGCACTTTCTGTTTTTGTTCCTTTAAGTACCATCAGTTAGGAAGCATTATGTAGACAGGACTGTACAGAATTGCAGAAGGTCTCATTTCAAAAAAGGGGTCCCAAAACAGCAACTGGACCCCTATGTACATATGTATAAATTGTTGCTCTGATGGACACTTGCAGTGAAATGGATCAAATGGCTAGATGTTTTGCAATCCAACTAAGTGTTTGCTGAGTTACCTTCAGAGTGAGTTATAGGTATTTTTCTGAATGTCTCACAGAACATATTTATTATCTTTTATTGATGCTCATTACTGATTTATCATACAAGACAACCAACAATTCTTTTTGTAACTTGATTTGGAGGCCTTTCGATAAATTCATAGGGAGACAGTCCAAATATACCTTTTTAATCATCAATTGCAGCAGATGCAGGGAACAGGTAATACAACTGTCTACCTCTGAGGTATGAAGGAAGCACGTTAAAAGAAAGCATGGACAGGGAGAAGAGATAAAAACAAACTTGAAAGTGTCACATCTTGATAAATATAAATCCAGTTCAATTTGATTCGATGTTGATGTTTTGTCACAATCACAAGAGAAAGAAGTCAATCTTGTTCACTCATCAAGCGTTTTAGATTCTTTATGGTTTGATTTTGTAGTAATGTTGTGCATAAGGTGCTTTTAGTGAGCTCATATTTGTGGTCTTCTTTATCAAACAACCAAATTTAACTTCTCCTTTACAAGATATGCCAGCTACTACTTCAAAAGATATAATGCATCTTCTTCTGAATCCTCCAATTCTGCTGTCAAAATATCAATGAAGCAGGATAAAGCAAATAGAAGTAGGACTGAGGGAGGTGCTGCAGGACAATCAACAGAAAGTTTAGCTATTCTACCAGATTTCATGTCTGGAGTGAGCGTTTACTTCTTCAATATATCAGAAAAGAAGAGGCTAAGCCGTTATTTGATTACATATCCTTTTTCTTTACATGGTGAGGTTGTCTAATGGATTGTGATCATTTTCTCGTATCCTTTTTAGGTTTTAAAACTGGGCAGTACTGCTGAAGCAGTTGTTTTCCAACATTTAAGTTGTGCATTTTTAATTTAAATGATTTAATCAGTAAATATAGTCTTCTAGTTCATGGTGAATATTTCTAATTGTCCTTTGCATTTTAATTTTGTGCGGAGAATTTGAGATGGTGTTCCTACAGAAGGTTTACTTTTTATACATATGTTCAAATCTAAGTGATTTGCTAATTTATTCTATGACTGTGTTATCACAATATCCAAATCGCTTTGCACTCAGTTTGAACAGCCTCCTTGAATTGGAGCATAAATGGAGGCAAGGAAGAGAATGACAAAAATGCAACGTGCTGCTTCTTTGACATTTGGCAAGAAATAATCCTATAGTACTTAATGAAGTGACCTAGTTGTGTTGGAGAGCTTGACATTATTCCTATGGATTTTAGACCTATTTGTGCTGGAAACAAGTGTTCATATGTCATAGCAGCCAAGAAGCTATTGTGCAGGCCTTGTTCTGTGATAAATATTGAATGTGAAAAAAATGAAGGAAATTGTACTGAAAAAAATGGTTGTAAATAACAATTACATTTTAAAGAGAACATTGCTGGCACATGTTTAGAGCTTACTGGAAGAAGACCCATGAACCAGGAAAAAAAATCAAGGAAACTCAGGTTCATGAAATTGAATTATATACAGTGGCGGGGAAGACCAAGAGACTAGCAGCTCTGTGTTTGCCTCTAGTGTTCCTTCGTCCTTGCTCCAGCTAGAATCAGGATGGTGAAACAAATTTGATCCCAATTACAAATATATTTTGTATCTTATTTCTAGAAATGTATATGGTTCTGTGTTTTGCACTGTGGATTTGTCAGTCTTTTCATTTTCCCACTTATACAGGTATGTTTTGCTCATGAGTATTGTAAGTATGATTAATGTTAAATTTTCATTTAACTAGCTAATCTTAGGACACACTCAGCAACTGTGTTGTACTAAATTATAGGCACAAGGTGCTGGAGACCCATACTGACTATAAAATAAATGAATATTACCTCAGATCATTTCATATTGTAATCCTTACACAGATATTCCAATTTAGGTTGAAGAAAGATGCAACAACAATATGTACTTATGTAAAACCTACAAAATAGAAAAGTGTCCTTGGCACTCCATAGAAATAGAAGGAAAACTGACCCCGGGACACTAGGGAGAAATCGGGAGGGGATTTTAGGAATAGGCTTAAAGGAGTAAAGGAATTGAGGAATTTAAGGGCCTGGTGGACATAATTCCAGGAACGAATCAGGTAGCTTAATGAGGGATTATAGCTGGGAGCTAGATTAGTGCAAATAAAGGGTGGTTTTGATAGGGGAGGAAGTGGTGGTCATGTCATTTGGAAAGAGTAAACTATTTACAACTTAAGTCAAAAAGGATCTTAGGAGGGAACTGATTAGTCATGATTTTAGTGGGAATGGACACAAAGGAGTTGAAAGGAGATTTCATAGATGAGCTGAACAAATGCAGAAAAAATGGGGGGCAAAGTTAGATGAGGGTAAAGGTTGAAGGCAAGGGCAGGGATAAAACTTGGAAGCATTTTGGTTTAATGGGCAAGAAGAAGGTGAGCAATAGTGGCAAGCAAACAGATAATTTACCTCCGGGATGAGGAAATCTACAAACTCTTCAAACTTGTCAGAATACTTTGGGAATAAAATCATGTTACATACTTCGTAAGATGCTGAATGCATTCCTTTGAGTTGTGCATTATTTTCATTTTCCTTCAATGGCAATTACTTTCTTTAATATGAATGCACTTACAATGGTGATGTGGATGAGAATTTCTGTGCTGAAACCACTCATATTGTGGCACAAGTGGATGGTTCTAGCCAAATGCAGGTAAACAGCATCAGTTTAAATTACATTTAGCCTTTTTACATTTTCATGTGCATCTTCAATTTTCCTTTGGATTACTTTCCCATATTTGCATATTAACTTCATACAGCATTTCTACAACACTGCAAATGTATAGGAATATGACTTGGTAATTTGCATTGAGAGGAAAAAATAATTTATTGACCGGGGGAGAAAAATGGAAAATAAAGGTGAAAATACCAGGGTGAAGGTGAGGTACCAAAGATAAGATTGAGGTGGAACAGTTTTGAGAACTAGAACAAGAAACACATAGGCAAATCTATTTGGTGAATAGCAGACTTTGTACGGTAAGCATGGGAGATTTGAACTACCCCGAAATAACCTGTCAAGACTAAGTAGTGAAAGTCAAAAAGAGTAAAGTGTTTTTGAAAAAGAAAAACTTGCACTTATTTAGCATTTTTCATGACCACCATATGTCTCAATATGCTTTACAAACAATGAGCTATCATGAAATAATGCACTTTTGTGGGTAAATTGAATAAACTGGGACTTTTCTTTAGGAAAATGCAGATTACAGGTAATGTAATAGGTAGAGTATAAATACCAACACACACTGGTTGGGCTCATTGCCTTCTTTCTGCACTGTTTACTCTGTGTTAACGCCATACTTCTAGATAATATCGCCTCAGGGTTATGTAAATAGTGAAGGACAAGGACCAAGGACTTTTAAATTACTTTGGAGAATACCATGTGTGCAGGAGAGAAGTATAGGAGAAATGAACCAGCTGTAATTGCTGTATTGAAATAGGTAATCTCAGGACGAGGAAAAACGGTAGCACAGATACATTGCATAACAGAAACTGTTGTGGAACTTGAATTGGCCAAATATGGTAAAAGAGTTCAATAGGGATGGCGTGATTTTTGGGAAGAAAGAAACACAATGAATAAATTATATAGATGTTGTTTCTGACCAAACTTTGGGCCAGAGTTAGACTGGATTATCTCAAACAAGAACTAGTGAAAGTGCAGTTGCTCAGCTTTATACTTCTTTTTGAAATCACAGTCTTTCAGAGCGCTGTTCCTTCATCAGGTGAAGTGACTTCACCTGACGAAGGAGCCATGCTCTGAAATCTTGTGATTTCAAATAAACCTGTTGGACTATAACCTGGTGTCATGTGACTTCTGATCTATTCTTTATGTCAGTGATGAATGTCAGGGTAATGTAACCTCACTGATGCTATTTGTGTCTTGATTCTAGGAGTTACAGAGCTACCTACAGGAGAATCCCACAGCAGTTGTTGTCCAAGCTCGATGGCTTGAAGTTTGTTTCTCAAAACAGCAGAAGGTTGACACATTTTTGTATGAAATTAAACTAAATAACTCTCAGTGAAGGTTGCATTTGCAAAATTCATTCTGACAGCACACTGAAACTACCATACAAACATGGGCAAATAATATATGTGGGTTTAGGTTAAGTATGATAAAGTATCTGTTATACAAATGTTTTTCAGTTTAATTTTTTCAATTTTTTTTTACATTATAAATATGGTTTTGACACTGAGTACTCATATTTGACTTATTTCTCAATTTTTCTAATGGTTTACTGTTTTGGTATTAAATTAGTATTGAGACAAAAATAAACTCAACTAATATTTTGCAAATACAGATGTAGAAATTGCTGGAAAACCTAAGCAGGTCTGGCAGCATTTGTGGAGAGAAAACAGAGTTAACATTTCGGGTCGAATGACTCTGCCTTAGAAGGGTCTGAAGAAGTTCTGAGGGAGGGTCACTCGACCCGAAGCATTAACTCTGATTTCTGTTCACAGGTGCTGCCAGACCTGCTGAGCTTTTCCAGCAATTTGTTTTTGTTACTGATTTATAGCATCTGCAGTTTTTTTAAGTTTTTATTTAACAAATACCTCCCCAAGTGGAGGCATGATGGTTATGTACCACATCTACCTAACAACCAAGAGGCTATGAATTAAGATGCTACTGCAGCAAGTTGTGAAATTAAATTCACAAAAATCAGTTTGAGAGTTAGCTGCAGAAAAATGACCGTGAAAAATGCTGTATTTATGAAAACCCATTTGGATGAATCCTATTCTTTCGGATGCAAGATGTAGTGTTGAAATTACTTAATGGTGCAGTCATGATAATTGGAAAAAAAGGATAGCATTCAAAACACAAATCAATCATGATGTTTTTACTAGATTTAAACAGTGAAGACCTCTTTGACAGTATCCTGTTACACTACAGTTGGTTACAGATATATTACAAGAAATATATGATCACACTGTAACAGTCAATGTCTCTGCCAATCATACTTCTAGTAATTGATCAGGCTGCTTGGCCAAACATGGAATTACCTTTTTGCAACAATTTTTATTCCCTTTTCAATGTGGCTTGAATATGTCACTGTCAAGGTGGTATTGTCCTATCCATGTCAGCCTTAAGCTACTGAGATAACAAGGTGTACAGCTGGATGAACACAGCAGGCCAAGCAGCATCAGAGTAGCAGGAAGGCTGATGTTTCAGGCCTAGACCCTTCCGTCAGCCTTCCTGCTCCTATGATGCTGCTTGGCTTGCTGTGTTCATCCAGCTCTACACCTTGCTATCTCAGATTCTCCAGCATCTGCAGTTCCTACTGTCTCTGAAGCCTTAAGCTACTATTGTCTAATAAGACATTGGGGTCTTTGTTCAAGCAACAAATTTGACATTCCTCAACAATAGAAACAATGTCAAAACCACCTTCAGCAATTTCCCATTTCTCATGAACATTGCAAGTTTCAAGTCTTTTAAGTTCCTAATTCCTTAAAAACAATTGGAAAATTGAAACAAGGTCCACCTGACAAATCAGATGAAGTAAATATGGCTGCTGATTTCTGTGAATAATGGATATAATAATGTCATTCACTTTCAGCATGTGTTCTCTCTTGCAATTTTCAAATACACTTGCAATATGATGTCTCTAGGCTTTCATGACTGTAGAACTTCTACAAATTTCAGAGCTGATAGAAAAGGAAAGCATTGATTTTAAATGTTTGCTTACGGGTTTCAACCATTTTACGACTTCGTGAGCTGTCTGTGTTTCACCAGTAATTCTATTTATCTACTGTATTGTTTAATTTAAATTATCACTGTTCCCTGCCCCCCATCCCACCCAGTTTGAATAGCTGTCTCAACCACAAATTTCGATTAAAGATTTGAATAACCCAAAATCTTTGCAGTGTTTTACAGGAGAAACCATTCACCTCCACCTGGTCTGGCTTACACTTAATTCTAGTTCCTCTGTCTTAGGGAGAAATATGAAAGGACAAGTAAATGTAGCCAATGTGATAAAGACATATGATATATAATTATTATTTGGAAATTTGGGTTTTTAAATTAGAGACAGATGGAGCTTGGCTTCAGCTCTGTTTTATTTTAGAGGTCAGAAAGTCATTTGGAATAGTGATCAAACAAATCTTTTCCAAAAAACTATTCAATTAAGTGCCTAGTGAGATATCTGTGATATTAATTGATTAAAAGTTTAAACTGCTGAGTTTATGAAAAACAGACCAGATCAGTTTAGTTTGACTTCTGCTAGCAGAAGAACCTAGATCAGTTCAGGATAACAGTCATGTTCATGGAATGGTTTTAGTTTGTAAGGTCTCCAAGCTGTGAAAGTTTGTACAGAGGTTTTCAAATTGTCCGACTGAAAAGAGGTTTAGGCCATCAGAACCGAAAGAACATTTAGGCCAGTAGAACTAGCAAGAAATCATAAAACTGTCTCAGCAGTCCAGGAAAGAGTCAGTTCAGGATGAAAGCAAAGAATCATCGTAGGAATTATAATTCTCGGGGATTTGAGTACTTGTAAAGGTATGCTGAAAAACAGGTTGAACAGTGTATGTTTTAAGATCTTTCTGAATTGTCTTTTTTCTTTACTTTTGTGTAATAGTATCATGTTCTTTTGTTAACTGACATTGGCAGCAATATGTGACCATGTTGTGTCAAAACACCATTGTAACCAACTGGAAAAAATAAACTTATGATCAATTAAACCAGGTTTCACATTGTCATTTGTCCATTATTACCATTAATTGAAATTATAACACCACTCAGAATTATAATAAAATTATGAATTGACAAATTTGACTGTAAGTTCATTAAATACCTTGGTCAGGGAACCTACTGGAATCTGCAGTGTTCTATGCAGTAGTTCTTTTGGGTTTCCTGACCAAGGAGAGAAGGGATGGAATGGCACTGGATCTGTATCAAATAAGTCTTTACAAATACTTTTATTTTCATCTGTTAGAAAAGAATCCCAAGATAAATTAGTTTTGGCTTGAAATATTGAGTCTTTCTCTCTTATACAGATGATGCACTGTTAGATTTGCAACATTAATTCTTATAAATATTTGGCCATTAGTCTATAAATCTAGCCTCCCATTTCCATTTATTATGAGGTATCCATTATGTCATTTGTCGGCATGTAGGGATTTTATGACCTGTGAAGCTTTGTTTTGCCTTTAGCCTAATATGTATGAAGTTTTAAGCGAATTAACCCAAACTGAATGAGTCTACGAATGGTCCTATCTCTGATTTTGCATAGAATAGTTGCCTGGGAAAAGAGTTGATGATAATTGAAAGCAGAATAACATGTAGGCAGTTTTGTGTTTTTGGAGAATATTTAAAAGTCGACAGCTTTAGGCAGACCTATGATGAATACAATACTCTGATTTGCAATTTTTGGAGACAACTGTGTCAAGCTGTACCATGTGTACCCTGCCAAATTTATTGTGTTTCAGCTGCAGATAAAAATGTCCTTATGGGACGAAGTAGGGCAGAATTGTTTAAACAACACAAATCGTAAAAACTTTCAGCACTAAGGAGGCCATTTTCTTTGAAAGAGCTGTCATACTTAATTCCCACACCCTGCTTTTGTCTTTGGAATCCTATTAAGTTTCTCATCCACAAATATGTGTTCACTACCCTTTTAAAATTATGGAGTCCACTACCTTTTCATACAGAGAGGTCAAGAGTCGAAAACATATCTTAACCCCGATCCATTGTTCATCAGTGATTTTAAATCTATGACATGACTATTGATCTATTAGTATGTGGGAACAACTATCCTTCATCTATTTTTCAAAACCTTTCAACAGTTTGAAGACCTCTAGTAGACTATCCGTTAACATTCTAAAGTTATTTCTCACGACTTTACATCTTCTTACAAACTGTGATGCCCATAGTTGGTCAGTATTGTCCAGCTGAGGCCTGACCAGTGATTTATAAGATTCTATTTGTATGATCTCTTCTTTCTCATCATCAACTTATAAACCAAGTAGCTATATACAATAGAGATAACAAGGTGTAGAGCTGGATGAACACAGC